CACTTAACCTCCATGAGCCTCAGTTTCCTCACAGAAAAATGGCCAAACATTTGCTTCCTTTAAAGAGTCAGCTTGAGAACTGAGGGAGGTCACAGTATCTGGGATGGCTTTAGCTTGGTGTTTGTGCATGTGGTATTCACAAGATGAAGGCAGGCATTCGTGGTCATCGGGGGGAGTAGTGGTTAGGGCTTTCAGCACCTGTGTGGCCTGGGGCCTAAGATTTACTTTTGGGCAGGAGGTGGCTGTGGCCAGGCTGCTGAGAGACAGTGCTTCCCCCCAACAACAGCTCAGTTTTCTCCCCTGAATGGGCACTGTGGTATGGAGTGCTGGAGTTCTAACCCAGAGACGCACTAAGCTGGAACATGTTGCAGAAGGTTCTAGGAAAGGGCTGGTGGAGGCTAGCCTTCCTCAGCATCTCAAAGAAAAACTGGCCGAAAATGTACATGAGATGCAGGTCTTCCTTCCTCGGGGAGGGCCGCTGGGCCCTTGTGTGTGAACAGAAGCAGCCCTGGGCTGCTGGCGTCTCAACCAACAGTAAATAGAGCCATATCTGCTTGCTGTTTCCCAGCTGAATCCCTTCCTACAGGACAGGAACTGCTGCCCAGTTATCTGTGCCCATGTGGGTAGCTGCCTTTGATCGGGCTTCAAGGATGGGCCAAGGGCAGCTTCTGCAAGAGAGAAGTTGCCTACCTTTGCCTTGACTCCTCCAGGACACCTGTATTCACCACGCCACCTACCGGGCATCTTCTAAATAACTCTAGCATTTCTCTAAAGTCCTGGGCTTTTGTCAGGAAAGCCATGAACTAGCTTAGGCCAGCTCTTCCTCACCCCAGACCTCATGCTCAGGGACAAGAACTATACTAAGTGACCCTCCTCTGTGGTCTGCTCAGTGTGTCTTTACATTTACACGACTTCATATTTCTTACCTCATTTCAGTCTCACTTAATTTTAAAGATAAGGAAGCCAGAGTTCAGAGTGGCTGTGCAACTTGCCCAAACTCACCCAACCATAGCTAGGATGTAAACTTTGTTTACTTCCAGTGTTTTCCTTAATTTAGGTAACCTTACAGGAGACCAAGAGATTGGGGAGATTCTGTCCCCCACAAGGAGACCAGTGTTGCTTCTGATTGACTAGTAATAGTAGTAACAGTTGTTGAGGCAGGGTCTCACTGTGGTCTTGATGGCCCAGGTTCCAGTAGATCAGGCTAGCCTCAAACTCACAGAGATCCACTTGCCTCTGCTTGGCAAGTGCTGGGATTAAAGGTGTGCGCCACCACACCTGGCTTTCTTTTGTTTTTTCTTTTTGGGGTTTATGTACGTTTTTTTTTTTTGTTTTTTTTTTTTTTGCTTGTATATATGTTATTTCAGGATACCTCTCTTGTCTTTCATTTCCAGAATAAAGAGATAGAAGAGCTCACCAAGATTTGTGACGAACTGATTGCCAAAATGGGGAAAAGCTAACTTCGAACCAAGTGCTTGGACTTGGCCGTTGCGTGCAATACGACCGTCGGCACACTGCTGTCCTTCCGATTCCGGGGACAGGTTTCTTCTCTCTTTGTATGCACTACTGTGTCCCTCTCCAAACAAGGTTGGTTTGACCGTATGCAGTGCCGAGACCTACCAGGATTCCTTGCTATCCGTTTGCATTTTCTAGTATAATTCATAGCAAGTTGACCTCAGAGTTCCTGTATCAGGGAGATTGTCAGATTCGCTAATGAAAAGACAGTTTGCTGACCTTGACCTTGCCCTTTGGCGAACGGCATCTGATGTGACATGAACGTACGCAGCCTGCATAGGGACTCTTGCCTTAAAGAGTGTACAATTGATCCACATTTGCTGGTTTGTTTTTTTTAAAAAATGCATGTTTCAAATAAAATTCTCTATTGTAAATAAATTTTTTTTCTTTGAGTCTTGGCAGTGAGTGTAACTGTGAATTATTTTCTGGAAATGGCTGAGTCTTTTCTTACTTTCATTAAGTCATATCAGGCCTCTGCCTGGGCCCATTTTCTCTGTCTATTGATTTAAATAGCATTTCCTTCATTATCATGTCTGCGTTTGCAAGAGGAAGCAAATGAGAAATATTGACTTGGGCTTAAATAATTAAGTGGATCTATTGGATTAGCTTAGATTTCATTTTTACAAAGCCTCGGCCATTAGGCAAAAATCTGTTTCCTTTCATTATTGTGAGAAGGAAGTAGCAAGCTGTCAGGCTTTCCTTCCCACCCCTTGGTGCGTGACCAACCCTGAAACACAGCCTACTCCTCTCTATATGGTTAGGGAGGGCTGTGGACATCTGGTGGAAGGCACGTAATTAGCCACTTAGGCGTCCTGACTGCTGCCAGGTTCCTTGATGCCCTGACCTGGACCTGTGACCTGCGATCTGTGATCTGCTATCTGCAAGGAGACGTAGGGTAAAGGATGAGACAGGGAAATGAGGAGGTGGAAGGTAGTTGGTTTTCAGGGCTGTTGTCACAAATTCCCATAAACGTAGCAGCTAGAGCTGCAGAAGTTCCAAACCAGGATGAGGTTGGGACAGGCAAGGCCGACCCGTTCTGTCCTCCTCCCAGCTTCCGTAGTCCCAGCAATGCTCCAACCTCCTTCCCAACCTTTCGTACTTCTGTGTCTCGAACACCCCCTTGTAGTAAAGGCTCTCACTGCTAGCCGAACTGTCCCTCCAGGCCTCTCTTTATTTTCTTATTTTGAGGCAAGGTTGTTCAAACTGGCCTTGGACTCATTCTGCAATCCAGACAGCCCTTGAATCTACAGTCCTCCTGCCTCAGCCTCAGCCGGGTTTATAAGTCTGTGCCACCATATCCAGTACTTCATAAGAATACCATTATTAGACTTAGAGCCTATTGCCAATCCCGGGTGATCTCATCTTGAGATCCACAGTTCCATCATCCACAAAGGCCATTTCCAGGTACAGCCGTATTCACAGGGAGCAGGGGCTAAGGAGTACGTATGTATTTCATTTTCATTACATTATGTATTGGTATGTGAGTGAGGTCAGAGGACATGTTTGCATGCACGCTATGGTGCACATGTGGAGGCCTAGGGGTGACATACTGGTGTCAGTTCTCTCCTTCCACCCGGGGATCACATGAGGTAGGTCTTCGGGACTGACTGTGAGAGCCGTTCCCCACTGGGACATGTGTGCCAGCAGAATGTGTGGTGCGGCTGAGTGCGTAAACAGACCCGAGCTCCCATGTCTTGGCTTAACAGTCCCCCTTTCCTCTCCAGGCACAGTCGCTACGAGTTGCTCTTTGTAGAGGTATCCACTCCTATCAGGGTGCTGAGAGAGAAGACGGGGTGGAAATCTCCGCTGTGATTTACAAGGGTAGATGAAATCCGGTCATCCAGGCAGCACAAGGAGAGAGAGGTAGATTCACTCTCGTTGGGCTGCTGGCCCGGTGGCCATGACCGCATCTTTGGGTCCCTGCAAGTTTTTGCTTCATCTCTACTGTGTGTAGCTCCATTGACAGAGCTCTGACCCCACTGTCATCCTCACCTGACAGGCACCTGAGCGGGTCCTCACTCGCCTTGGCTGCAGACATCTTTTCCTTTCCAGGACCCCCACGTCTACTGCTTTTTCTTTTATTTTCGCCATTTAAGGTAAACATTCTCATTTCTAAAAAGATGAGTAATACAGGTAAGTAAGATGTCCTAATCTCCAAACCAAGAAACTACAGGTGCTGTGATTTTGGTCTTCCTTGGCATGTGAAATATTTACCTCATTTTTGCACTGTGCTACTTTCAAGGTATTTATCTGTTTGCTTGTGTGTTTATCCAGCAGTCTCAGTGTTCCATTCTCTTAACTTTTTTCCCATGCAATACTGTAATGTGACTATCATGTAAACTCTTTTTTTAGTAAGATAATTTTAAAATGTATATTTATGTATATTATATTCATTTTTACATTATATATGTATATACATGTATGTGTGTGTATGTGTGTGTGTGTGTATTGCCAAGCTGTCTAGAACAGTGGTTCTCAACCCTACTAATGCTGTGAGTCTTTAATACAGTTCCTCACATTGTGGGGACCCCAACCATCAAATTATTTTCATTGCTATTTCATAACTAATTTTATTACTGTTATGAGTCATAACATAAATATCTGTGTTTTTCAGTGATCTTAAGCAACCGCTGTGAAAGCGTCATCCAGCCCCCAAAGGGGTTGTGACCCACAGGTTGAGAACTGCTGTCTAGAATGTCATCAGAACAGTTGCCCCCTTTATTTTGGATGATTACAAGGTGTTGTCCAAGTCACAGAATGATTATTCCATAGAAGCTTCATCGGAGATGACTGATAACGCTCCTGTACCTGGACAAGGGCCTGCTGGAAGTTTCATGGGGTTTATGACCCTACCCTGGACAGCAAAGTTAGTGGCTGTTGACTGGACTATCACGTCAGGGTATGGTGTGGTGTTTGAATAAGAAATGCCCCCCTTAGGCTCAGGCATTTGAATACTCGGTCTCCAGTAGGTGGTGCTGTTTGGAGAGGTGGTGGGAAGACGCAGCCTTCCTGAAGGAAGTTCATCCCTGGCGGGTGAGCTTTGGGTAAACCTTACCCCACTTGAGTTTCACTCACCACTATGTGCTTGTGGTTGAAGGTATGATCTCTCGCTCCCTGCTCCTGCCACCCACCGTGCCTGCTGCTTGCAGCCACATCTCCCACCGTGGTGGGCTCTTACCCCTCTGGAATGGTAAGCCAGAATAAACCCTCTTCAGTTGCCATTGGTCGTGGTGTTTTATCAAAGTTGCCATTGGTCATGGTGTTTTTTTTGTTTTTTGTTTTTTGTTTTTTTTTTGGTTTTTCGAGACAGGGTTTCTCTGTGGCTTTGGAGGCTGTCCTGGAACTCGCTTGGTAGTCCAGGCTGGTCTCGAACTCACAGAGATCCGCCTGCCTCTGCCTCCCAAGTGCTGGGATTAAAGGTGTGCGCCACCAATGCCCGGCTGGTCATGGTGTTTTATCACAGCAATAGAAAAGCTACTAATACGTGTGTTCCTAGCAGCCTTATTTTTTCTTTTTCTCCAAAGGGGATACATTATATGCAAGGAGATTCCATTTTTTACAGATGAGAAAAACATATCCCCAAATCAACTTCCTCTTCTGCATGCTCATTGTTTGTTCCTCTTCTCAGTCGGGCACGTCTCAGCTACATCAGGTTTCTCTGTAGCTTGCGGGCAGCATTTCCTTCATCTCAGCATCCTTATTTTCCTAAGATAGTTTGTCACATATGTAGGGTTGGTCCATATCTCTTCCAGGGCCTTTGGAACATCATCAAATAACAGACCATGATCTCCTTTGCTTTGAAGTGATACCTGGAACAGAAAAAAAGAAGGTTAATTCTTGAACTTGCCTTTTGTTTCCTCTGTAGATGGGATCTGTGTGTTCATTTTTCCAGAAGGGCTTTATTTGCTTTGCCACAACATCTTATTATTGAGACAGGATCTGGCTAGCTTCCCACTTGCCATGTTCATAACCTTGAACTCCCTGACCTTAAACTCCCAAGTTCTGGGATCGTAGATGTGTGCCACCATACCCATGCCTAGCTTCCTATGTTTTTGTATTTTATTTCCTTTTCTTTTTAGTAGACCTGCTCTAGTATACAGCCCTGCTTTGAAACTCTGGAAGCTGATGGAGGCCACTGGATGATTCTGTGTTCTTCCAGACAAACTTGCACAGAAAGTCTATGGTGGTATGGTTTCAATGAAAATGACCCCCATTGGCCCATAGTCACTATTAGGAGGCAAGGCCTTGTTGGAGTAGGTGTGGTCTTGTTGGAGGAAGTGTGTAACTGGGGATAGGCTTTTAAGTTTCAGAAGCTCACACCAGGTCCAGTGTGGCACTCCCTAACTGCTGCCTGCTTATCAGGATGTAAAATTCTCAGATTCCTCTCCAGCACCATGCCTGCCTGCATGCCACCGTGTTTCCTGCCATATTGTCTATAAATTAAATGTTTTCCTTTATTAGAGTTGCCATGGTCATGGTGTCTCTTCACAGTACTAGGAACCCTAAAACAGAGGTTGGTACCAGGGACTTGGGTATTGGTATGGCAGGCTTGACCATGGTTTTGTTTGGAGGAATGTAAACTTTGGGACTTTGGATTAGAAAAACAGTTGACTTAATGGGCTATCCTAGTAGAAACATAGGAGACAGTGGTGCTGAAGGTGATTTGAATTGTGAGGGCCTGGTTCAAGAGGTTTCAGAGGAGAAGAATTTTAGTATATGGCCTAGAGTCTGTTATTGTGATATGTTGGCAATGAATGTGGCTGCTTTTTGCCCTTGTCCAAAAAATCATCTTGAGGCTAAACTGAAGAGTTATGGATTACCAGCTTTGGCAGAGGAAGTTTCCTGACAGCCTAGTATTGGGTGTTGCTTAATTATTAGTGGCCATTCTTGTGCAGGTTTATTATGAAAGGGAGCAAGCTGAGCAAGGAAAAATACAAAATGTACAGCTTGAGAAGAAAATGGGCACCAGAAAATGTAGACAGATTTTTTAAAAGCCTGATGATGCTAAGTGAAATAAAGGGAGTAGTGACCTCAGAGCAAGACCCTATCCAGCTAAGTTCCTTGTGAAAAAGAACTAAAGAAAAGTGAAAATGAATTAAAGAAAAGTTTAGATCCAATAGTGCATGTCAGATTTCAGAGTTCAAGGTCAGCCTGGTCTACAGAGCAAATTCCAGGACAGCCAAACTTAGGCAGTGAAAGAAACCATCAAAAACAGAGAGCTGGTGAAGATGTATTTGAACAAGGGGGCCATGTTCCAGCCCCAGGAAGCAGCAAAACTTGGCAGCTTCAGCCACATAGTTCTGGCTTTAGAGTCAAAGATAGAAGAAAGGAATCTCCCTCTGTGACTACAGAAAGCTACTGAGGCCAGGCATGTGCCACGGGAATCCCTGTATGGAGGCTTAGAGAGGCCGTTAGGTGAAGCTGTGAAGGCCCCAAGATGTTGGAGATGCCAGAGCTGTGGGACACCTGCTGGGTTAAGCTGCTAACAGGGAGTGGAACCAACCCAAGAGAAAGAAGTGTGTTACAGTTAACAAAGCTGAAAGGAGTTAGAGATCTGAAGAGTGTTTTGACCAATCAGACATTGAGATATAGAGTTTGGAGTTTGCTCATCTGGTTTTCATTCTTGCTTTGGTCTAGTGTTTCCTCACTGTGTTCCTCCTCTGCATTTTGGAATGATAATGTATATCCTTAGCCTTTATATGTTGGAAGTATGTGATCTGTTTTTCATTTTGATTTTATAAGGGATCACAGATAAGATATTACATGAATCTCAGAAGAGACTTTGAACTTTGGACTTTTAAACAGTGCTGATACTGTTATAGACTATAGGGACTTTTGAAGTTGTACTAAATACATTTTGCATTATGATATTGTTACTAGTCTATGGGAGCCAGGGAGTGAGTGGATGTGGTAGTTTGAATGAAAATGACCCCATAGGTCAATAGGAAGTGGCACTGTTAGGAGGTATGGTCTTCTTGGAGTGGGTGTGGTCTTACTGGAGGAAGTGTGTCACTGGGGGTGGGCTTTAAGTTCTCAGAAGCTCAAGCCAGACCCTGTATGGCACTCTCCTCCTTCTGGCTGCTGATCTGGATGTCTACCTCTCCAATACCATGTCTGCCCGTGTGCCTCTATACTTCCCACCATGATGATCATATACTAAATCTCTGAGCTATAAACCAGCCCCAGTTAACTGTTTTCCTTTATAAGGGTTGCTGTGGCCACGGTGTCTCTTCATAGTAATAGAAACCCTAACTAAAGCATGTGATGTATGTTTGGTCCTTAGCCGGTGGTTCTATTTTAAGAGTTTCTTAGAAGGTGAAGCCTACCTGGGAGTGTCCCTTTGAAGGTTATACCTGTAGGTCCCCACTCATTTTCTTTGCTTCCTGTCTGCCATGAGCTTAAGTAGCCTTTGTGACATGCTTCTCCTGCTATAATGTTCCTGCCTCATCACAGGCCCAGAAGAATGGAGCTGCTCTTGATGGACTGAATCTCTGCAAACGTAAACCAAAAATGAGTCCTTTCCTATTTGCCAGACATTTTGATCTGACTACAATGGGAGAAGTCCATCTGAGAATGCTTGGTGTCTAAGAATCTCTTTTTGTCTAAGAATCTCTTGCCCACATTCAGTTACTTTTCCTTGGGGACTCTGTGCCCATTGACTCATTGGCTCCAGCACTCTCTGTAGAGTTCAGTGAGCTGCAATCTGCAGTAAATTATATATCAATAAGTACTGCCAATTGTTCCTGTGAGTGGCTGCACAACATTCCATGGTACCAAGTAAATAACTATCCTGGGCATGGTGGGCATTTAAATTGTGTGCGGTGTTATGCTATTGTTCTGAACTACCTGAGAGTCCTTATATACCTACTTCTTTAAGAGGAATAATTTTTGTTGATTGGTTTTGAGGCAGAGTCTTACTATGTGTCCCTGGTTGGCCTGGAATTCACTATGTAACCAAGCTGGCCTCAAACTCACAGAGCCACCCACCTCTGTCTCCCAAGTGCTGGGATTAAAGGTGTACACTACCACATTGAGCTCTTAATTGTTTTTGCTTTCATTTTTATATGTGTATGATTGTTTTGCCTGCGTGTATGTAAGTGCACCGTGTGTATGCCTGGTGTCCATGGGAGGCCTGAAGATCCCCCTGAAACTATAGTTACGGGTGGTTGTGAACCCCCATGTGGGTACTGGGAACCAAATGCTGGTCCTCTGCAAGACCAGCAAATGCTATTAATTATTGAGCCATCTCTCTAGCCCCTAAATTGAATTCTTTGGTTGACTCACCTGAGCTGAAGATGCCACTGTGTTCCAGACCCCAGCTTCTTAAACTGAGTCATGATTCCATATGGTTTGTATAACTGAATATCAGGGTTGCGAAAAATTGGGCAATAGTAAAAGATTTCTGAATTTGCAATGCTCAAAAAGTGTATTAAAAATCACGTGCGTGGTGAGTCCTAGGCATAGTTTCTGGCTGTCTTGCTGCATTTCACATCTCCGTGGCCTGGGTTCTGAACACAGAACATGAGCTGTGTGACTGCGCAGGCCATCACACCACCCAATGCCAGCAACACTACCTGCAACACCTCGGCTTCCATCTGAGGCTGCTGTGTGTGATAAGTGCTGCAACTGCAAAGTTTTCTGCTCTGATGGCTTCATTATGGAAAACGATGGCTTTTATCGTTTCCCTGCCATCACTTCTCAGAATCCAAGTATCCGATTAGCATTTGGGAGGTTGTTCTTTTAGAATGCTCAATTTTACATGGAAACTGGATTGTTAATTTAGGCTTCTTGAAATTCCACTAAGTGGATTTTGGCATGGGATTAAGGACAGAATTTCCAATTTTCTTCAATGGCCATTGTACGTTTTGTCATTTTGTACTGTGTGATGGTATGTTCTCAGCATTGCTGTTTATAAAATCTAAATATTGACAAATTCTGAAAAACATTGGAGATACTCTGACTCCTGCAGTGTCAAGTATTAACCACCATCTCATTTTTCTGTGAAATTAAATAATCATACCTTCTCATTAGTGTGCAAATTTGCTTTCATCTTTAATAAATGGGAAACTATGTCTACCAAGCAATCGTTTCAAAATAGACTTCTTCGTGATTTATTACTGGTAAATGTCCTAATTTCTATGCCATTTATGTCCCCATAGACAGAGGAAATTATTGCAGGGACACAAAGGGATTCTTGCTGACGCTTTATTACCAAAGATCAGGTTTTGATTGTAGAATAAGGATAAGTCTGGTTAGCAAGATAGTTCCGCTGGTTAAAAAGAACTTGCCAGGCAGCCCAATGACCTGAGTTCAAGCCTCAGAACCCATGTTAGAAGCCCCTACTCTAGGCAACCACTAGGAACACTGAGTATAGTTGGGCAGGTTGAATGTAATTGCAGTAAAGCAGGAATTCCACCAGGGGGAGCTGCAAAGCATCATAGAAAAGATTCAGAAAGTATAGGAAGAGGGAGGCAGGGCTACCATTAGAGGCCAGGACTAAGAGACACTTGATCCTTGCTGTGGTTCAATCAGGTTCAAGTTTGTCTGTGCCAGGCATGCTTACAGACTGGTCTCAGTTCTTTTTGACCCACCACAATTCAGGTGGCATGTCCAATGCTGATGGCCTGTGACACTGTTTATGGCCAAGGCCCACTTATGAGGCCCAGCCCCGCTCTGGGGTTTCAGGGGCTGTCCTTTTGCCTCTCCCCAGCTGCCAAGAAGTCACATTGAGATGTCTTTTTTTTTTTCCTTTCTGAGACAGTCTTATATAGCCCAGGTTAGCCTCAAATCCATTATGTAGCCAAGGATAACCTTGAACTTGTTGTCTTCCAGCATCTACCTTCCAAGTGCTGGGTTTCATATGTCCTATTCTATGAAGTACTGGAGACTGAAATCAAGACTACACTTTTTTAAGGTTTAGGACACTTATTGCTTAGACGCCTTCCAGAGTCGGTACCTGTGCTGGCTGGTTTTGTGTCAACTTGACACGAGCTAGAGTCATCTGAGAGGAGGGAGCCTCAATTGAGAAAATGTAGGGCATGTTCCTAATTAGTGACTGATGGGGGAGGCCCAGCCCATTGTAGGTGGTGCCATCCCTGGGCTGGTGGTCTTGGGTTCTATGAGAAGGCAGCCTGAGCAAGCCATGGGGAGTAAGCCAGCAAGCAGCTCCCCTCCATGGCCTCTGCATCAGCTCCTGCCTCCAGGTTCCTGCCCTGTTTGAGTTCCTGTCCTGACTTCCTTCGGTGATGAACTGTGATGTAAAAGGATAAGCCAAACAAACCCTCTCCTCTTCAGTTTGCTTTGCTCATAGTGTTTGATCATAGTGGTAGAAACCCTAACTAGGATAGTGCCTATACATGACTACTCCCTGGCCGTCAGTGTATGTAGAATACACCCTATGGGACATATGGGCCAACCCCCGGTCTGCCCTCTGCCGTTCAGCCGGCTTGGTCGCCTCTCTTCACTGGCGTTGCCTGCTGGGATGCAGTGCTGTCAGGTGAGAGGCTGCAGGGAACAGCTGTGCTGACTCCTGCACCACACGCCTGACTGAGGGACTGAGCGGCATGTTCCAGTCACCTGCCTTCTTCTTTGAAAGGCTGAAGGATGGAATCCAGACAACACAGAGGTGTGAGACTGAAGTAAACCTCCTCGGGAAGACGGGACAAAGACGGCCATCATCAGGGTCCTCCTGCCTCAGCATGTCTTCTGGTACAACAGGCTCTTCTACAAGTCCAGCCGTCTGTGCTCCCTTGAGGCACAGCAGGCTTCTGTCAGAGTCTTTTGCTTGCTTGCTTGCTTGCTTGATAGACTGGCTTCAGACTCCTTGTGTAATCAAGGTGACTGTGAACTCCTGCCTCCATTTCCTGGTGTTGGGAGTACAGGTCTGCACCCAACAGACCTGCTCCAAGAGGATCATTTTTCATCTCTGGTGAGATAATACATCTTTCTTTATGGTCAGGTTAGAGGTTCATTTACTGTTTTGCCCGGGCTACGCTTCCCTCTCCACATTTTAGTTTTAGGTGCATTTATGCACTTGTGGGGTGGAGAGGTTGTCTGTGTGTATACATGTGTGTTCACTTGCATGAATAGCCACCTCTCTGTCTTCATGGAGGGAAATCCGTCACCAACAAGCCTCAGGAGTGATTCTCTGGCCTCACACCCCATTTCTGGAGATGTCTTTGCCTGAACTTCCCCGTCACAGGAGTTGTCATGTTCTCTGTAGGAGCTTGCTCAACTGTGTCTGCAGCATAGCGGGTTCTGTGACACTGTAATCAGAAGCTGACTCTGTCTCACCAATCCTTCAGGATTCAGAACATGCCCAGAGAGGCAGAAAGCAGCTCCCTGGACATTCACCAAAAGCTGGAATCCTGGTTATGCATCCCCCTCCTCCTCCCCCTCATTGCCCCCCCTCACTGCCCCCTCCACGCCCATAGGCTGAGTCCTAGGGGTGGGTCATTGCCATCCCCAGCAAGTGGGTGCCACCAAGTAGAATTTCCAGGGAGGGGAGCCAGAGTTCTTTTCATTTATGTGTGTTTGCTTTTTTACTGTGGCATACTGCTCAGCTCCTGAGAGATTCATGGAATGTGTATGCTGACAACTCTAGGGGTGAGCTGAAGGCTCTGAGTTCTTGAGTTTAATTGCTACAAAAAGCAATCAACACAGTCAAGGCCAAAAATTGGGCTCAGGGTTGATGGGGACTGTGACATGGGACACTTCTCTGGTGTGGCCACTAGGAGGTGCTCAGGGATTTTTTTCTCATAGCCAGTAGCCCCAGAAGCCATATTGAGATAGGTGGGATGTCAAGAGGTTCAGGTTCTTGTATTTCAAATACCTTAATTAAAATCATTTATAAAGCCCCCCCCCCGTTCCAGAGAAAATGTACATGGGGGAAAATTTGGGGTAAAGGGGAAGCAACATAAGGATGGCAGATATGTCCTTCAATGCTTTTGCTGGGGCACCACACACACACACACACACACACACACACACACACACACACGTCACTCAGTCACATCATGGTCATGGCACTGGACTGGGAGGGAAGCAGCAGACAGACTCAAGGTCAGAGAGCAGGTTGTGTGTACTATGATGGGGAAGGCAGGGAAGGCACTAGAAGAATGTGTGTAGCTTGTCCCCCAGCAAAGGAACACAGCCTGATTGCAAGTCTTGTACTTTGAGACACTAATGTCTGTCATAATGGCTGGTTACACTATCCATTACTTTCCTCCACATCAAGAAACAGTGTCACCATTATCAATAACACATGGGAGTTGGGGGGGGGGTGTTACACTATCCATCACTTTCCCCAATATCAAGAAACAGTGCCATCATTATCAATAATCCACTTGAAGCCTGCTTCCACCTGGATACACTATAGGACTGTGGGTGGACCCTGAGCTGGGCTCCTAACCCCTGCCTGTAAAACAAAGTCAGTGCCCTGAGCCTGTGTTCTCTGTCACCAAGTTCTACCACTGAGCACCACTGCCTGACCCCTCCTTATATGCTGGGATGACAAAAAGCAACAGAAGATTTTTGGACCCCACCTCAAATCTGTGCTTCTTCTAATTCGTTTTTATTTAAATTAGAAACAATCCCCTGCATACCCACCTGAAGCCTGCTTCCAGTGGATGTAGGCGGAATCCAGAGGGTGGGAGTTGAGCAGGCAGGCAAATTCAGAGATGCCTCCAGTGGACATTACTGGGGAACTTTTACCTTCTACCCTGGCATCTAATGTGAAAAGTCTTAGTCACATCCTTGACTTACAGATAATTCTTAGGAAAAGTCACCCATTAACACGGTAATTCCTTGGGGTAGTTTCAATAATGTAAAGCATGTTTTCTTTTATTGAAATGTTTTGTTCAAACACTTCTGGTTACAGAAAGCTAGAAACTGAATACCCCAAATGCTGGAGCTGGGTAGGACCTAAAGTGTTTCCAGTGGAAGGAATTAAAGATTGGAGGATGGACCCTTCAGGAGGCTCGGGTGCTATAAGGTTATTGATGTGATCCCCTGGATAAATATAGCCCTGCTGCCACCAGAGGGAGTCTAGAGGAAGCTCACGATACCCATTGGTCTCGCTGAGGAGCTGTCACTCACAGTCTGTTTTATGACAGCCTTGTCTCCCCTCAACCAATAGCCTGAAGCCTCAAGCTGAGCTGACATCAGAACCCAGAACAGGAAGTCCTTGGAATCTGACTGCTGTTACCGTGGTACCCACAACTACCCCAGGGAGCCAAAGGCAAGGCTCCCCCAGCAAAGCATCTCGGCCCATAGGAAAAAGGGGTGAGCCCCAGATGTCATGAGAGCGTTCAAGATTCAGGCTCAGAAGGTGCCCAGACTCCAGTTCTCCCGTAATTCAGAGTTCAGTGCAACGATTGCTCCTCTGCTCCACACGCAACCTCTGTGATCATCTCCCAGTGGGCAACACGACTTCAGAACTGTAAGTGGGACTACTACCTCACACACAGCAGAGACCAAAGGCTCGCCTAGTGATGGGAGCTACTTGCACGTAGTTCCAGTAGAGCAGGGAGGCAAGTCAGAGGTTCCTGGTTGGGAGCTGAACAGACAGCTACCTCACCAGAGGACATAGGAAGCAACAACCAAAGCCCATAAAGCACATATCTCCCAGTGAGACATAAAGGATAACAATATGTTTTAGTTCCATTGAGGTGCCCTGGTGTTCAATGCCAGCTAGTAAGACAATGAGTAAAAGAAGCAGAAGTTGGGCAGCAGCCTCTAAACTGAAATGAGCCTTCTGCAGAGAGGGTCCTGGCAGGAGCATGTCTTCATGTGCTGACCAGCTCTGCATGAAGTCCACATGAAGCCCCTCCTCTCTCCTTACATGCCCCTGGACCACACTGAAGACTCAGAGTTCTTATCTAGAACAGTGGAAAGTAGACGAGGGTTTTAGGCTAGGGAGCTGGAGGTCATTCTGACTTCTGTGTGAAAAACAGGGCAGAGAAGCAGCTATGTATCCCCTGGAGGTGGGGCAGACATGTGGAAACCCAGCCATGAAAGAAAACATGAGCGTGCATGAATGTGTGTGTGTGTGTATGCATGTGCGTGTATGCATATGCGTGCGCACACACATTGCTGTGGATTCAGTCTAGGGCTATGCACTTGCAGCTCTACCACTCAGACCCAGTGCCACCTGGGTTACTTTGATGTATAAGTTTTTAAATGAGAATCAGTCTGTGATTGTCCTCCATCCATCAGCATCTTTCAGGCAATCCTTCCCTCCTGTTCATATATATATATATATATATATATATATATATATATATATATATATATATATATGTTTTTTTAGCATACCATTAGTCAGATAGGTTTCTGTTGCTTGTAACCAAATTGCCCTAGTGGTGTTCAGAACCAGCAGAAGAATGAATGCTGTCAGTCCTCTTCCATGGCCCTTAAGCCAAGGTAATCATAAATCCGCTGAGCTCCAGTACAGCCCTGACTCTACCTGTTGTTGGGGGCTAGTTGGTAAAGCCCCCCTTTGTCTCCTGATCTATGTTCACCTGATACATCCCACCCTGTTTGCAGTCATCATTGATCATCATCTTGACAGCGGGAGAAGTCATATCTCTGCTGCCCCATCTGAGATGTTTTTCCAACATGATAGCATAGATTCACCCACAGATATGCCATTTAGAACTCAATTCCAGCACTTGAGAGGCAGAAGTAGGAGGATCTCAGTGAGTTTGAGGCCAGCCTGGTCTACTGAACAAGTTACAGGACAATCAAGACTATCCCACAGAGAAACCCTGTCTCCAAAACAAACAAACCAAGAGAAACCAGGCCAGGGGACATAGCTCCAGACTAGAACTCTTGTGTAGTATGAGGCTCCACATTCAACCCCAGAACAAACTAACAACAGAAAGCCTAGATACCATCTTGCTTTGATACATTAAGGTTTTCTCATTATTCCTTTTACGGTAAAATAGACATTCTGTAGAAGTCTCCTCTACAATATTCTGATGAGATGCTTAGGGGTGTGTTAAAATGTTCAGCTCTAGCTCTTTTGTCTTCCAGATACTCATCTGTTTCCTTCCGTGTCATCTCCACTACCATTCATGAAAATGTTGAATCCAGTAAGTAGATCCTTTCACCAGAAGGCAGGTAATGGCAGGGCTGAGAAGATAGTTGGTTGTTCAAGCAAAAACTACAGTTGTCGCCTCAAAGGGGATAGCAGATAGTTTATTCTGGAGACAAATAAAAGTTATCTCTACTCAGGAACACAGATTTAGGTTACTTTAAAGTCCATTTTCTGACATAGTAACAGTTTCATGACATTTTATATTAACAGAACACAGAAAGTTATAAATCAATACACTGTCAATTATAAATCAATACACTGCCAATTATAAACCAATACACTGTCAAGTACGCTGCCATAAGGTAGGTAGGTCACACCCATATAGGGAAATCTCTGCCACGGGGGTGTGTTAACTGATGACATTTTGAGATAGGCTGTTAATACATTGCAAAACGTTTCACCTGATAGTCACAAGGATGTGTCAGACACAGAAGGAATGACTAGTAAGTGGACTGAAGATAGCCCAAGATAAATTGTAACTAGGCTCTGGACCTATAGCATTCCAACCTCTCCACAGTCATTGAAGTCACCATCAATGAATCAACCTCATAGAAATTTCAACATAAGGCATATAGTTTCTTTCTAGGGAAACTTTCATTCGCATGGCTCAGTCAATAAGTGCTTGTCATGTGAGACTGATGACTTGAGTTTGATCCCTCAGCACCCATAAAAACCTGAGTGTGGGTGGAGCACCCTTATTGCTGGGGGTGGGAAAAGACAGGAGAATCCTGGGGCTTTGCCAGACAGTTGTTCTTGCTGGATTGATGAGCTTGGGTTCAGCGAGAGACCCCTATTCAAAAACTAAAGCAAAGGGTGATAAAGGAAATATCCAGTGTCAGCCTCTGACTATGAACACACAGTCATGCTCAGAAGCATTTACACATGTGTGTTGATGTGTACACACACACACACACACACACACACACACACACACATACACACACGGCTTGGGAAAGCAAGCAGCACAGGGTTACAGTGGGATTCCAATGTTTCCACAAGGGCCAGGGCCTGCATCACTGAGGACCTCAAGCTTAACTGACTGACTACAGGAAAGAGTGAGTCCAGGCAACATTGTCCAGAAACCAGAGAGCAGCCCCACTCCTGAGCCGACCCTTGCTGGTGCCTCACTACAGCAGGACCACAACTGAACCCAATTCACACCTAGCTAGGCAATGTGTTAAGACACATGTCCCAAACTGTTTCATTTTATCCTCTTAATAACTCTAAAACTTAGGTGATATCATCATGATCACCATCTTTGTCACCATTACTGTCCCTACCATCACCACCAATACCAATATCATACCATCATCACAAGCACCAACATTACTGCAATCGATATCACAATGACCACCAAAGTCACTACCACCATCATCACTGGCATTGCCACCACTATCATCACTATTAGCATACCCGATGAAAGGATAAACAAAATGTGGTATAGTCACTCAATGCAATGTCCTTCAGCCTTGAAACGGAAGGAAGTCCTTGGAATGAACCTTGGAAGCATAGCAACTGAAAGGAGCCAGACACAAGGAGCCAGACATTGTGGGGTCCTACACTTAAAATACCCAGAGTGGGCTGAGCGGTGGTGGCGCACGCCTTTAATCCCAGCACTCAGGAGGCAGAGGCAGGTGAATCTCTGTGAGTTCGAGGCCGGGCTGGACGACAGCCTCCAAAACAATACAGAGAAACCATGTCTCGTAAAAACCAAAAGAAAAAAAAATCCAGAGTGAGCAAAGCTACAGTCAGAAAGCAGTTTAGTGGTCCCCAGCAGTGGGGAGAGGGTGATAGATGGGGAGCCTGGCAGATACAGAGTCCTTTAGTGGGTGGTGAAGATGTTCTAGAGCTCGAGAGAGGTGATGGTTGCATAAGAGTGACCTGTATGCTATAAATGAATAGGATGGTTAATTTTGTGTTGTGTATTTTACCAAAAAGAAAACTCACTGTTCATAGTATCTCTCTGACTGATGCTAGGCTAAGTGCTCAAAGAACAGTACTTGAAGCACAATAGTATGCCTACTTGTAGAATCTTAGCTACCTACAAAAAAACAACTGGCCTTTTTGTCACAGGCCACTCTTCTTCCAGACCCCGAATTCCAAAGTACTTCATAGTTTGAATCACAGAACACATCACCTTTATATTGAGAAGATGCCCCGTGACGGATACTAGCCAGGTCCAAGAGTTCACCAGAAGTTTAAAGTTTGTACTGGTTTTCTTTGTGCTGTATAGTCTGGGAAAGATGCCATTTGGGTGAAGTTAAAGACTCTTCTCTCTTTGGTCAAGCAGCGCAAGACTCGATTGGAGCGCAGGATTGTGGGTGCAACCAACCGGTGGCGTTTTCCCCAACAGTATTTCTGTGGGGACCTGCTGGCACTCTCCCAGATGTGCAAAGTTTTGAACATAGACCTGGACGAAGCTCTGAAGAACCCAGACAGGTAGGAAGGGTCGATGTCCCATGGTAAGGAATGGCCACCCAGGAAGGGAAGGGAGGTGCTTGATGGTTAGACCATGCTAGCTAGATAGTTCAGGCATGTCTATAAGGAAGCTTCACTAGAAGATCATACACAGGCATAGACAGGGTCTAAAGTGACTTCTTGCTCTGACAAGGTCTGCTAGTAGTGACTAAAGAGCAGCTTTTTGGGTCCCCCATCAGATTTTAAATTCATCATCCAGGGACCACGTGATCTCTTGAAAATGCACCGTGGCTAAGTGTTTTGATGTGAATTCTCATGAATTCCCATTTCTATCCCGGCTTCTCTTCCCCTTCTGTCTGTTAGTTAGTAGTCTTAGCATCCGGCTAGAACTCACTTCTCCATTGTGAATTCTACCTGTCTGGAGGACACAGAAATGGACCTAATTACAGAAGGCTCCTTCACTTCCGGGTGCTGCTGTCCTGCCTTAATGCCACTAATAAATGAATCAGTTCTGTCTCATGCATTCATGTTAAGTCCACCTAAGCAAAGGCTGCTCCCTGGAGCAGTATCTGGCACGGAAGATCTTCTGGTTCCGTGTTTGCGGAGTGACTGGTCAAATGTGACCTTTAACCTTTGGCTAAACCTCACTGAGCCTCACTTTCCTCATCTGTGAAATGATGATGATGGAAACTCCCTTGAAAACTCAATGGATGAATAAGTCTGGTACATTTCATTAGGCTGTGCTATTAGTCTTGGTATTATTCTTACTAACAGTAGACTCTGAATAAATTGAACTATTATCTTGGTGGAGTCTGCCATGGTGTGGGGGAAACAGGTTTTCTTTCACAAACATGGGATTGCAATTCTGTCTTTATAGTGGGAATCGATCCCTGGGATTTAAAGGTTCTATTTTTTTCCTATTTACTTATTTTTTTATATTGATAGACAACATTTAATTTAGGTAATAAAGGGAGTATTCCTAATAATGTGTACCTTTAGATACCAGGAGAATTTCTGATGTCACATCCCAAGGCCAGTGTGTGTGTGTCTGGAATTGTACTGTGTAGCATACATGTGTCCCCCAAAGCACACACTGCTCCTCAACCCTACCTGATCAGTAAAGTCCTGGGCCTGTCTCTTGTATTATAATTGTAGCTTCTCCCACATGGGGTCATTGTCAACTTTGACAGGAGCCAGATCCAGCTGTAGTAAACATATTGCATCAATATGTAGTATTGCATCATATTGTAGTAAACTCAGCTTCTGTTTATTTTGGGTCTGTGGCTATGCCTTGGACAGGTCAGTGCCCTGGGTGCCATCCAGATGGCAAGTTCTACTTGTTATGTCTGTGGGTTTCCAGGGTGTGGGGGACTCTGAGGCTCACTCCTGGATACTGTGCAGGTCTCTGTGTATAGCTTCGCTTAGAGTACAGAGTAGGGTGGGGAGGGCTGGGAGACATGGAAGTATTGATTCCTTTCATACAGTCATAAGTTCTTATGTACAGATTGAATATGCTTCCTTAGATGACATTATTCATGGACAAACCTTTAACAAACACACTCAGAAATAACTCAGGCTGTCTTGGAGGGTTCTGGATACACACTGTCACTTACCCAGAGGTAAGGTGCTGCCCAGCCAAGACTTAAAGGAAGTACCCACCCACTACAGACCCAGACATGCTGGGAAGTGAGCCTAGATCCCTTCCTGATCCCTGGCTGGTGACCCTGGTTGATCTTGTCCTTTCATCCTGTCTGCAATGCCAAGTGCATATCAGAGATAGGAAGGTCATGCAGAGAGGTGAAGAGACCCCTCGATATTTTATAGGAGTACAGTTCTGGAGGGAGAGTAGAGGGCATAGGGCCTGAATTATAGGGGAGACAGAAGAGCAATCTTCAGCCAAGTGTAGGCTTAATGGTAGGGCCCCCAGACCTTCACCCTTCTACCCTGCACTGGCATCTTTGCTTTATAAGGGAAAGCTCTGAGACCAAGAGACAGGTCCCAAGGTCATGCGCAAGAAAATGGAGGGTCTGGGACCCAAGTCTGTGTAATTCTTCCCAGTAAGTCAGATTGGCGTTCTCAACACCTAAGTATCAAGCCAACATTCCCATGTGTGACTTGTTATAGGAGACTTACACATTCCTGAGACATTTCTCGAATTCCCTTTTCTCTTTCTTCATCATGGGCCACAACTTGAGGGAACAAGTGTCAGCCTATGAGCTCGTTACCTTTGCCCCCTGTCACATCTTCTTGGGGCATTTTTTCTCCTGGTGAGTGAAGAGATGGTTACACCATAGATTCTACTAGTGACCCTAAAATGAACCTGCATCCTGAGGTCTACAAAGCCTGTACAGTGAACAGCTTTCACACCCAGGAGACGCAGTGCAGCCATTTTGTCATCTGGCATCTCCTGGCTCAGCTGGCAATGGGGATGTTTGTAAGGCGGATTGAGCTCATGGACAGTGCCCTGTAGTTTCCAAAACCCATCAGTCCCATTTAAGGTGATGGCCTGAACTCTTAACCCTGCCCAGATCTTCTCAGACATGTCACCTAAGTGACTGGGGGAGGTTGAGGATAGCTGGGTCCAGTCCATCACTCCTGCTGAGTAAACAACTCAGGCTCCCAGGACTTCCTGAGGTTGAGTCATGTGCAGCCATCTCTGTCCTGGAAAGGGTGGCATGGTGTCACTGTTATTCTGGAAACGGGATCCTGCCCAAACAGCCTCCATGCACCTGGCCCATGAGAGCTTCTGAGTCACTGGAAAACAGCATTCCCAAGAGGACACTGGGGTACACAGACCAGATGTGGTCTACAAGTGTCCCTTGGCTGATTGGCTTTCTTGGGACAATCATCTTCTAACTGAATGTGTGATTCAGGTTTTAGTTTATTTCCACACTCTGCATGTAGAGTACATAGTGTCTGTGAAAGGCATTATCACTGTTGCCATTCAGACTCATAGATTCAGAGGACATAGATAGAACACTTGTACGGGGACTTGTGCCAGGCCCACAGCAGTAAACAGACACCCTGGTGTTGTGTAGAGGACACTGGAGTAGACAGGCAACCAGAAGGCATTGCAGAAGTTTTAATGGGATCTTGGAGATCTATGGGGCTGGGGATGCTGGCCCAGAGAATGGAACAATGAAGCTTTTCCTAGAGCATTAGCAAGAGCCCCTGGAGAGAAGCCGGAGAGACCTCAGCACGGGAGCACGGCCTGTGAGTGTGTGGGAGCTGCATTCAGGAAGCCACAAAAGACTGCAACCAGAGAGGCAGGTACAAGGCTGTGAGGCAGGAGCCTGCAGCTTTGCCAGTGAGTCTATGGGGACACGGTGGTGGATCCCCAACAGGAGAGACAAGATCAGATCTGTGTGGTGTGACAAGGGAAGGATGCTGTAGAGGCCAGGACGCTGGTAATGACTGGACAGACAAGAAGTAGCCTGGGAAAAGGTTGAGTAAAGAAGGCAAAGACACGTGAACAGATTGAAAAGATCATCTCATCAGATGGTGACAATGTCCAACTGGCTGGCCTGGAGGCCTGGGGGCCCATGTTCTGAGACAGGAACTGGGGTAGAGAAACAGGGTAGGGTTTGTGTAGACTGTGAGATTAATTTCCAGCTGTCCTGAGACTGGCAGTGATGTCCTAGAAAAGAATGCTCTGTGCTCTTCTCCAGCAGGTATTATGCCATTGTTTTAGAGACATTCCAAAGGAAGTGCCATTCCACAGGCAGGGGTAGCCTCAAATACCTCCTTGGTAGGTCATGCTCACCAGCAGGAACAAGGATCATTGTTTGGGGTCAGCCAGGTTGAGAGTTCAAACTCTCAGATAAATGTAATAAGGTTCTGTTTTAGTGATGGGTGCTGTGAGGATAGATGATGTGGGTTGATGTATGTTGTGGGAATGGGTGCTGTGAGGATAGATAATGTGGGATTGATGTATGCTGTGGGAATGGGTGCTGTGAGGATAGATAATGTGGGACACTGGAATGATGTATGCTGTGGGGATGGATGCTCTAAGAATAGATTATGTAGGGATGGCTGCTGTAGAGATGATGGTGTAGTGACTGATGTTTTAATAAAGTATACAATAGGATGAGTTGTGGCCCAATTTCTGAACTCTGACATGAAACACTACCACAAGTTGGTGAATAGCAATAATCATATCATGAAGAAGACACAGGTACCCCAGGTCATACAACCAAACTAATGGCAAAGCCAAAAGTAGCCATATGGATCTACATGGTCCTCTGGGTTCTATCTGGCGTAAACATTTAAGGTTTGGGGATGTTGTCCTTCTTTCTCCAACTCCTGGCTCATATAATGAGTTAAGGCATGTAGAGCCTATCTCCCACTCCTCTTATAACTGTTATAGTTGGTGAAAAAATTATTTATTATTAACCTCTGGATCTTCTGTTTGTGTTTTCCATCAAGATTATGCATTTCAAAATTCCAAAGGCTTTTCTCTGATAATATCGAGAACAGTGACATCCAAAGTGGGGAAGCAGGTGAGTTGTCACCCATGGATTCAAGCAGAGCTATGCTGACTTCATGGCCCGCCTCTGGTCCCTGTGGAAGGGAATCAGCCATGGGAAGATCTCTATTCTGTCAACCACAATTCTTATGCACCACAGTATCTAACACAGAAAAGGTGCCTGTAAACACTTTTCTATTTCAAGGAGTGGATCCATGCTCTGCACACATGTGCATCTGACACAGTAAAGACAAACACACTGGTGATAATAAGTAGCCTTTAGAAGAGTCTACACATAGCATTCAGGCACAGGCAACAGGATTTTTGTTCCTTTGTGGTTTAGCCAGTCATGATTGACATCCAGCTTGACACTTGTCCCAAAGGACTTTTCTGTGACAGGAGTATAAATCAGAATAGGAAAAAGGTCCATTGAGCCAGGTAAGGAAAGTGGGAAGATAACTGTAGTGATTTTTTTCTACCATTTGTTATGCTGGAGACTGAACCTAGGCTCTCATATGTGCCAGGCATGTACTCTGCCACTGAACCACACCACTACTCCAAAGCCAGCCTCTTAAAGGAGGGAAAGCTAATCATTTCTTCTCATCTTCAATTCTAATGGACCTAGAGAAGCAGTTTGAGAAAGAACACCAGGATAGATTAGTAATGTCTACCATGTAATGGCTTCTTCACAGCTGAGACCGATACCCAGAGAAAGCATGCTGGATCTATAATTCTGTTCCTTCCTATAACCACCCTACATATATGGGACCTTCTCTTCTTCCTAACCCAGCATAACCAAACCACCTGAGGTCATCCAAGATTTGAGGAGCAAACTCAGTTTCTAAACTCCAACATGAAATAATATCTTAAGTTGGAGAATGACAATATCAGGAAGGAGAGACAGGTACCCCAAGTCACACAGTCAGACTAATGGCAAAGCTGAGAAGCAGCAAGTGGCCTTCTAGATCATGCCTGGTTTAGAACAGTTGTCCCTTTCACCTGTCCCTCCCCCAGTTGAATCATGCAGAGTTCTCTCACCCGCCCCCGTCATGTCTCACCTTGGTGGGGCATGCTCGCACATTCGCCTGCTCTCCGATCGAGGTCTCTTAATCATCTATGACAGACACAGGTCAGACAGCCCCACTAAGGCATTCCACAGATTGCAAAGGGCTTTCTTCACAGTGCCATTTTACTTCAAAACGAAGCCCCCTAAGAGAGTCTGCTCAAGAAGTTCCAAAAGGTCTTTCTGAGAAGTTTCCAAGCCCCAGAGTTAGAGAGCAGCTTAAATGCCTTGGAAAACTACACCTTTGTTAGCCAGAGCTCTGATGGCCATAACGTTGCTCATGTCGTCCCCCTCAAAGTCAGCAAACCCTTGGCCCCACACCACACGAAGGACCAGGAAGTCACTTGTTCCTTTTATCTACTGAGTAACTATGGCAATTGGAAGGAGACTATGATTTTCTCTCCTCAGATGTGATCCTTGAATGCCTTGGCTTCAAGTGGGAACTCCACCACCCTCAGATTTTTCAGTCTGAGACCTTGGCCAAGCTTTACTTGACAGCCCTGATACAGAACTCTAAAGGCCACACAAAGGAGCTGGGCAAGATTCTGAAAGGTAATCTCCAGGATTGAAAGAGCATGGTCATTGTCTGGCCCATGGTCATCTTCATTAGTGATAAATCATGCTTTACAATGTGAGCTCACCATGTGTTGAGCCTGCTTCTCTCATGATGTGGAATGACAGTTCTCATTGCATGGCTTTGGAGCCTAGAGGAGGTAACGGGTGTGGGGCTTCTAGAACAACACCTGTCATACAGCAAGTACTCAGTGCATCTCCATTAGTATCTTTGTAACAAACAAGTCTTACTCAGCCACATTAGACACAGAGCCTACCTGCTTCTTAGAGCAGACAAAATGGGCTATGATGAATCTCCAGAAGAACTTTCTGGAAGGAAAGCATAGTTCTGAAATCTGACTTGTTTGCCCTGTTCATGGTGGCTAGAGGTTAACGTGTGTTTCTCCTTCTGTTCCCTTTCCTGATGTTATACTTTTCTTTTTCTCAACTTATCACCTTCTAAAAGAGAATTTAGGTCAGTTCTTTATTCTCTTTGCACCCTAACCACCTTGGGCCTCTCTTTCCTGGTCCATATGCCTTCAGCAGTTACAACACCAACTTCTTTGGGCAACATCCTGACTATACTCCAGATTGACTCACAAGCAGGTGAAATGGAAGGTGCATGGTCCCCAAAGCTAGCCAGCACGCTGGTCAGAGTGAGGTTGTATTTTCAGGTTGTGGAAGCAATGTCTTGTTGTTCTGCAGCCAGCCAGTCAGCCAGAGTCCCCCCTCAGTGCCCCTCCCTGAGCCTGGAGTACACTCTCTTACCTGCTAGCACCCACCAGGCCAAACAGATCTGAGCTGGCACGGAGCCAGATGTGTGACTCCCCCACAGAAGCATGGAGACCTTAGCCCCTTCTTGTGATGTCTTTTCTGTTCCTAAGCATTTGCCTCATGTCCTCTAAAACAGCACTGCACCCCTGCATCTTCCCAGAGCTCAGGGCAGACCATCACCTGAGCCATCGATGGGGTCTCTGATGACTTAGGGAAGCAGTACATTGGAAAGTCAGAGAGCCTGTGGTGGGAAAGTGGGCAGTGCCTATGTGAACTTTCACGGGTACAGAATAGTGTCTCTAAAGACTAGGTCCTGCAAGACCCCTGCTCATGACAAGGTCATATGGGGTCAAGCAGGGAAGGCCTCTCTGAGAAGGGGACCTGTGTGTAAGCCCCTAGAGAAGGAGAAAGGCAGGGAGGAATTGCCACATTACTCAGGGGAGCAAACTCAGACTGGTAAGTTTAGGACCTAGGGAGAAGTTGAAGGCCAGGAAGCTTCTGAAACCACAGGTGAAGGATTGGCCTCTGTACCAAGGGGAAAGGGTGATTTTGGAAACCCCCTCTGAGAGCCTCGGGTTTAGAACAACTCTAAGTATATGGACTAGCTAACAGTGATTGGCCTGTCCCATCCCTTCACCCAGAACTCTTTGGTGGCAGGGCTTCTCAATTTGAAAACTCATGGGGCCAAGCATTGAGAGCCATTATATGGGGTTGGTGGGATGGCTCAGCAGGCAAAGGCGCTTGTCACCGAGTCTGACAATTTGAGTTTGGGCTCTGGGACCCACATGGTGGAAGAAGAGAACTGACTGACTCCCAAGGCTGTCTTCTGACCTACGCATGTGCCATGGATACATGGATGTGATAACACTTATTGTGTGTTTGAGACAAGGTTTCTCTGTGTAAACAGTCCTGGCTGTTCTGAAGCTCACTTTGTAGACCAAGCTGGCTTTGAACTCACAGAGATCTGCCTGCCTCTGCTTCCCAAGTGCTGAGATTAAAGGCATGTGCCGCCACCACCTGGTGTAATAATGTATTTAAAAAGAAGAGAGGCATCATGTGGTTGCCGCAGCCCCCTACTCATCCTTCAGAGGTGGCCCCTGGAACCCCACTTGCTTCTTGCTCTGCCCATGCACCCACAAAAACCAATGGTTGAGGCCCACTTTGCCCTCAAACTGCTCACAGGCTAGATGGGGGAAATGAAAAGTCGGATGGAAGGGCAGAGAGCAAAAGCAAAGTCAGCAAGCCTGGCAGCACGATGCGGGTTTCGGGCACCCATTCTGGCAATGCTAAGATCACAGGGGGAAGCAGGAAGGGAGTGACACAGGGACCTCTGTGCCACTTTTCAGCTTCTTGTGCATCTCAAACTATTTTGGAATAAGTAGTCACCTCTAAAATGCACCCACCAAATAATCGAACTAAAACTACAAATGACATGTGCCAAGATCCAGGCTATGTGCAGGGTGGCGGGGCCTCATTCTCCATCTTCACACTGCATTTTCTTTACTAGCTCAGCCACCTGAGAAGATCAAAGAAAAGCCCCTTGTAAAGAAGATCATCATTTCCTTGAAGATCAATGACCCGGCAGTCACCAGAGTTGGTAATGTAACCCGTCTTCAGATTCTGAGAAGGCCATTGAACGGTCCTCCCAGAGACAAAAATGAACAGCAAAATGCGGCTCCGCCTCAAAACTACTGAGCAGGGACTAGAGAGATGGCTCAGTCAGCACCAAGCCTGCTGCATGAGCACAGGGACCCAAGTTCATATCTCTGCACACAAGTAAAAGCCAGATGTGTGCACATCTGTAACACAAGTGCTGAGTGGGATCAGGGAGGCAGACATAGGCAAGTTCTGATCAGTGGCCAGCCAACCGAGCCACAGTGATGAGATTCAGTGAGAGACACAGCCTCAAAAAAAAAAAAAAAAAAAAAGGGTGGAGAGTTATTGACAAGATACCTGACATCCTTAAATCAACCCTTGGCCTTCACACACACACACACACACACACACACACACACACACACAGATGAACAGTGCAGAGAAAGAAGGGTCAAGAGGCTGGGACACTAGGAAAAATAAAAAGAAAGAAGATCACCCCTAATGACCAATGTGGTCACTGATGAGGGGACAAACAGGAAGGGAAGGATGTTCAGGCTTCTCAGACCTGGGGGAAACTGCCCTAATGAGCTCACACCTGTAGGGTACAGGGACACCCATGAGCCTAGCCTTCTTCCCAAACAACACTTGACCTGCCCCCCCCGCGCGCCACCACTGGTCCCCATTGGCTGGCTTTCAGCAGTAGTAGACGATTCCTGCAGAATGTTCTACCTTTCCCCAGCTTTCCCAGTCAGTCATCCATGTGAACACAGTTTGCATGACATGCTGTGATAATACAGGTCTGTAGGTCAGGTGCACCGTAGACAGTGCCCTGGAGCACCGGTACATCTCACAGTACACTGCAACAGCCTGGCAACGCTATCTCAGCACATGTTGCATTTACAGGAGGCCAAGTCCATCTGCCCTGTAGCCAGACTCCAAGGGAAAACCCATCATTAAGCTCCATGTCATGGATCTAGAGAAGTGCACCCGCCTGTATGTGACATGCTTCACAGATCCAAGTAGACACATTCCTATGGGGTCATGGATCCCAGGTTAGGGAAGACCTTGGGGACATGCTGGCCTTGTGGTGGTCTGACACACAGACTCTGAAGACAGGCTCAAAAGGAGGGTCCTCATGGTGGAGATCAGCTTTCCTTACCTTCATCCTCAGCTTCTCCAGGAAGCTGCGGGTCCAGGAGGTCATCAGCCCAGGTAGTCTGCGCTCACTATTCCTCCAGGCATGTCTACCCACTCCCGGCTGCAGGAGTAGTGAGACTCCCCCAGGTGGGCACACAAATCCCACACTAATGGCCCCCCTCTGCTGCTGCTCCCCAGCCTTCGCCCTGGCCCTGAAGAACCTTTACATGAATGAGGTGGAGATGACCGAGGATACTGTGCTGGGCGTGCTGGCTTCTGCTCACATCCTCCAGTTCAACCGCCTATTTCAAAAGTAAGGATGGCAGGAGGGACAGGCCACGCTGTGCAAACCGGGAGTATCCCTAACAGCTCATCTCAGGAAGCATTCCTTCTTCTTGGAGCTCCCTTTGTACCAAGCGTGACTCAGAACCCGGTAGGGCATCAGGAAACACACTGATGTATTCGGTGTTTATGACAGCCCCTGTTATTGTTGTGCTTGTCAGCCAAGTGATTCATGATCCACGGGAATGAATTACAAGTGGGGAGATCCTACCATGGGGAGAGACCATGCAGGTCTGCAAAGCGGCTTCCCTCAAACCTGACTCTCTTACAGACTTTACCTGAGTTCATTTGGGAATAAAAACCTTCTCCATTAACGCACGCCTAAACTGACATCCTTACTTCTGCCTGCCCTCAGGCCTCTCATTTTCAGATAAAGCTTTGTTTTACTCCTGAAGATATTTTTTTAATTGTTGACAATGTTTCATATAGTCGCCGTAAACCTTTTTGAAATGATAAAGTGCAAAGATCAGGCCAGTGACTAGCCCAGACAGTAAAGGTACTTGCCACAGCCTGGTGACCTGAATTTGATTACCAAGATGCCCATGGTGGAAGCAGAGAACCAACTCCCTCGAGTTGTCCTCTGACCCCCACATGTGCACAGTGCCATGTGTATGCCTCTCTCACCCACAAAGTCAATGAGTGTAATTTAATTTTTTATATAAATGCAAAGATCAAGATCAGGTGAGGCCTTGGTCCCAGTGCCCACTTTGGGGCATGGCCTCCTTGGCTGGGCCGCTGATTGGTCTGGATGCCCAGTCGATGGGTTCCTCATGGAGCCATGGATCTTGTCTACCATGAGAACCTGAGGGCACATCTCCGTACTTTTGCCTTGAGTGATGTAGCCCAATGGGGCTTGGTCACTGGCCCCCAGTTAGCAAAAGGCTTTTTTTTTTTTGCAGACTTCAAAGCAATTGTGTGAGCGAGCGGTGAAGGCCCAGTTTAGTTCTGTAGTAAGCTGCCCATTAACCACATGCTTCAGTGATTTGTGTCATAAACTGTGGCTCATCATTATCCCCTAACCGCTGCCTGGGATTTGCTAAGGACTAGGGGACACTGGCCCCAAAGCCTGGAGATGGCGGGTTGGCCATGGTCAGCCATGGTTCTCAGCTTTCTGCAGGGCTTAACTCCTTCTCCCCACTACCCCCACACACACAAGCAGCCCTAAGATTAGGTCTTGTTCCTGATCTAGCTCTATTAGTGAAGAGGCTTGAGCCTAAGAGACACAAAACTTGTTTCCAAGTAGAGCAGCCAGGACCCCAAACCTACAATTACTCGCCACAGTATCCCACTTGGCTCGGGTGAGGTAGCCATGTTGTTGCTTGCTTCTGTGAGGTCCTAACCCCTTCTAGTCTAGGGCTTGGCGGGGGTGGTGTGTGTGTGTGTGTGTGTGTGTGTGTGTGTGTGTGTGTGTGTGTGTGTGTGTGCTTATTCAGGCCTCATTCACTCCTCTGCTCCTCCCAGAACTTTTCTTGGGTTTCCTTGGGATGCCAGGGAAGCAGAAAGACCAATGGGCAAGTGGCTACACTTGAAATCCTATGGCTCAAAAGTCCCCACAACACGGGAAATGAGTCAAGCAGGGTGGAGTGAAGTCAACAACTTCCAAATGTTACAGTCTGGCTGGGTAGGATTAACTTCAAGTACAATGTGTGCCTGTGATAAGCAAAGACACTTCTCTGAAGTCCCCCTTGACATTTCTCATTGTGCTGAGGCTTCTGAAAGGGTATATGTGCCACAAGGAAATCCTTCTGTGGGATTTGTCTTTCTAGACTGTCCTGTCCCTTCTCCAAGTTGCAGGGATGCATACCTACTGAATCCCTTTGGTTCTGAAGACAGGCATGAAGTGGAGTTGTGTGGCTGTCTGATTTCCTTTGCAGTTGTGATGCAATTTGTCACAAAGACTTAGATGGTCTGTCTGCTCATTTAACTGCCCCAGGCCTCAGTGTGTTTTTAGTTTGGGTTGTAGCTGACAAGGACATATTACATAGCCTAGGCTGGCCTTGAACTGGTAATCCCCTAGCCCCAATCTCCTGAGTGCTCCAATTACAAGGATGTACCTCAGCTCCTTGACAAGCCTCAGTTTTGAATGCTACATGTGTTTCTGAGCCATCAACCCATTTCTGGGAGTACCCAAGGAAGCCTCAGGTCAGGCACTCCACCTGGAGCTTCTCAGATGCCCCACAGACCAAGGTCTCTTTGGGTGTGCAGAGGTCTGGACTAATCTGCAGGGGACACACTGAGAGGGTCTGGGGTCTGAGAAAGCCTTCCAGTACATCCGTATGGCCAGACTTGCAGGGCTGTGTAGCTGTTGCTGATGGGAGGCGAGCAGCTTAAGTCAGAATCAATTTGTGTGGTGTCTTGTGGTTGTCTAAGGAAGCTGGCCTTGGCTATGCAGGCAATGAAGAATGAGAAAGTCAGACTTTGTCTGCCTGAGACGTTCCATCCTCTTTATGTGGTATCTGATACCCACTCCAACTCAGCCCAGACCTCGTTGCTACTTCATAACTGTAATTTTACCACTGTTATGAATCATAATGTAAATATCCAGGATATCCAATATGTGATGCACAGGGATTGAGACCCACAGGTTGAGAACCACTGGCCTAGCCGGTTTCTGTAATACCTGTGGAAGTGCAGCTTGCTTACTTAGATCATTTCTGAGCAGTTGTTTCCTGGGCCCACATACTGGAAGCCCTAAATGACTGTTAGCATTCATGTTCCTTGCTCATCCATGGCTCATCCAAGAAAAACAGGTCCCCTCTATCCTCCTGCTTCCTCCCCTGCTTTATTCTGACTGCCAGAACAGGTAGAACTTTGGTCATAATGAGCCAAGTCTCTTGACATGCTCATGAGCCTGGGTATATGGAGCCTCCCCCAGATTCTTCAGATGAGCCCAATGGGCTTAGTATTCCAGGTCAGAGGCCAGGGCAGGCCTGCCACACAGCTGAGCTTGTGTTTGAGAAGCTGGTGGTACAATTGATGGGGTGTGCTAGTCATGAGCGTAGTGTGCATGAGTATGCGTGCATGCACGCGTGCTTGCTCATGTAGTAAGACAACACTGCCCTGGGTCACTCTTACAGCACTGTGACTTCAGGCACCAGATGAGACCCTGCAGGTTATCTCAGCTGACGTGCTGCTTCATGAGAAATCACCCTGACAGCTGCTTGGGTCTGAATCACACATCCTGGAGGTCTTTCACAGATGGAATCTGTGCACACATGTGTCACCTGGTGATGGTGCATAGGTTCTCTCATTGATGCCTGCATTGGTAGTCAGGCTGGGATGACAGCTGAGACCGGTGCTGTTGTCACAGGATGGCTCAGAGTGGCTGGAACAGAACAGGAAGGGTAAGGTCAGTCAGGAGTTTAGGATGAGCCCAGGTCATACAGGACCTCAGAGGTCAGCTCCCTCCATTTGGTGTAGTCAGTAAAGCGGGGGACCTGAAGGATGAAGCGTGGTTAAGCGGGAGCCCTCTGTGGTGTGGTTTAGGCACTGTGAGAGGCTGGTACTGACATGAAGCCGGGAGGCAAAGAGGATCTGAGCGAGGTCTGGGGAGAAGGGAGCTCCAAGAGACGCGAACATGAGAACTGGTGGGCTTTGCAATCTTATGAACCAGAGGTATCCGAACAGAAGGTAGGGAGTTTTAACAGACCCTGGCAGAAATGAAGACATTCTAAAAAGACATGTGTGCCTCCTAATCTATCAGACTAACAAAACAATGGACCACAGAGAAGTGAAAAATTTCCCAGGAATCCCATGCTGAGAAAAGGTAAAGGTGTCAGCAAAGGGGGAGGGGGAGTGGATCTTGTGTCCAGGAAAAAGATTCCTAACTGTTCTGACAACTTGTCACGCAACCATGCAGGATGAGACTGAGCCCAGACTGTCTTCTAGTTAAACTTTAATCTCACATCAGAACCCCAAAGACATATTTGGGGTGGTGTGGCTCACTGTGTCTTGTTTCTCTTTCCCAATGTGCCCACATAAATAAATAATAAATTTATTTATTAGCAGAATGTATTAGCCAGAATAAATCTCCTTTTTCTGCTTTCTTCTTTTAATTTGGCTCTTTCAATTGCCTTATTGAGGCACCTGGCTTGGGACTCAGACTGTGACCCTTAAGTTCAATAGCAAGATTATTATAAACCTAGAATCTACTCAGCACAATGGTCTCCTGTGCTCAAAGCCAAGCCCCTGATGGAGCAAGTCTCCTGGCAGCTGCGAGGCCCTCCTAGAACACAAGCGTAGAGGGTAACTTGGTCATGGCCAGGTTATTTATTCATTCACAGGTTATTTCTTACCTTGTTCTAGCACAGGCCTTAAAATCAGCACATAAAATAAAACCAACTGGATACCTTAATTTATTTTTATTTTTTAGGGAGAAATAAAACAAATATGGATAAACTGAAACTTGTCTACCATAGCACAGGTTCACCACACATTCAGCTCTGAGCATCCTAGCAACTAAGGCTAGGGGAAACCTGATGAGTGTCATGAAATGGAGATTAAAATTACCTAAAAATCACTTTGCGGAGGCAGAGCAGCTGTGGGTGTCTTCTGTGTCCTTAGCAACAGCCAAAGAGAAAATGGACAATGAGTCTCTGTTCCTTCTCATGTTGGTAAAGGCGCCACAGCAAAATGGAAGTCAGAAAAAGCAGTTCCTAGAGGCACGGGGATGGGGAGCCCCCTGCTCACTGCCACTATGACTTCATTGATATGTTTAGAGTATGCCAGTGAGATGGCTCAGAGAAGAAAGACACATCCTACCAAACCCAAGCGCCTGAGTTTGATCCCTAGGAATCCCCAAGATGGAAGGAGGGAACTGACTCCGGTAAGCTGTCCTCTGAGTCCCACATGTGTGCCTAGCTCCCCACACACCTAGACATGCGTGCACAGAAATGGAATCAACAAATGCCAGAGTCCCTGGTTAGCCTTGAAGTGCATCTCAGCTGATTTCACAATAACCACAGAGCGGTAATGAGCCCAAATGATGCTCACTTCGGTTTCACCTGTCCCTCTCTCTTGGCAGTCAGCTCTGTCATCCCTGCTTTTCCTTCACAATCTGCACATGCTCCTGTCACAGGCTTTCCCGCATGCTTTTTCTTCTCTGGGGACACTGGCCTCTCAATGCCTGCCCCAGCCATTTCTTTGTCCTGCTGTTTCAGGTTCTAAATTCCACTCTTTCGGTTTCTGATTGCTTTTCGGATTTAAGCACTATCAGATCCCCTCTTTTCGGCTTTCCCATGGTACCTTAAAGCTTTAGCCTTTTAGCCCAAGGGTGTCCAACGTTTTGACATTGAGACACAATGCCATCGACAAATGTGTTGGACTGTAGTTTGAATGTGTCTGTCCTAACCGCTAACCAATTGTAACAACATGATAACCTGTTCAAGTGTGTACTTAACAGTCTGTGTCTTCCCATTGACCATTAGCTTTGTCCTTGTACATCAAAGTCCTGGGCCAGTGTACATGATCAGTAAATAGAATTTTGGTGAGGAATTCATCAGTGGAAACCAGACCTAGTTATGAGAAAGAACTGAGATATTTATCAGAAAGTTACTGTTGGAACCTGTTTGTGGACAGAAAAGGACAGCATTTGAGGTCGCCTAGCAGCGTGTCAGGAAGAAAATGCCTTGGGCACGAGGGCATCCAAAGTCCATCTTGGCAAAGCCTCTCTGGCTCCAGGCCACAGTGCTACTCTCTGCTGAAGAGGCTGCTGTGTTACCTTCTGAAGAGTCTAAGCTCCTTCCAGCCTCTCCTCCCTTCCTTAGCAGAGCTCTTATAGCAGGCCTGCTGGTTTTGTTCAAGTCCCTAAAATAAGGGCTCCCTTCCCAGTGAAAGGTCTCTGCCACCACCTTAGAGTTGAACAAGTCTCTGCCCCACCCCCCTGACCTGACAGCATATGGGGTCGTCACTATCAGCAGCTTTCTCTCCACAGGTGTATCAACATGATGTTGACCAGACTCACACCGAGCACCGTCAAGAACTTCTATTTGGCTGGCTGCAAGGTGAGGATGGCTGGATGGGGTTTGTGGGCCCTGGGGTGCCAGGGCTTCAAGAGCTCCCAGACCCTGGATGTTGCCCACGAGACCTAACTCCAATATGTCTACTCAAAAGCACCAACTCAAGAGTAGAAATACTTAACTTTAGAAAGTTTAAAAAAAGAAAAGAGAAAATGTTTTAAATGCATAAACGAGAAAATAGTTTGAAAGGCCTTAATCTTGGGATTTGAGAGCAATTTCTAGTGTGATTTTTCTCACCAGGGCAGTAAGTACCTTCTAGAACATAGATGGGGCCATGAGCTTTTGCCCCACCTGGGTCCAGCCAGTGTGTCAGTGTTGGGGACAGTAATGTGATGCAGCTCTCATTATCAGAGGACAATGAGCATGAGGAAGGATGTAACTGCTCAGGGCTCTAACTGCTGAAGGCCTGTGCTGGTCAAGCCTTACCTACAAATTCCAACCCCCTCACCCCCCGCCCTGCAGCGATCACTCCACTCGTGTCTATTGGCACACTGTGAGGTTTGGGGCAACAGTTCCCACATAGCCAGCATGTCATGGTGCTACATCTAAGAAATACCCTAATGTCTGCCAAAGAACCACCTGGTTCTCAGAGTCACTCCACAGTTCTAGAAAGTCAGTCTTGGTGACACCCTGGCATTCTGGTTGCCATTTCTCAGCAAGTCTTTATCCCAGAAAGACTCACGTCCCAAGGACATACAAGGTCTGACACTATCCTTTGATTCTAGGAGCCTTTTCCACATTCTTCCTCTCCCCCCCACACACACACTTATTAGATCTGGACAATTTTGTATAGTGTATTTTAACCATATAAACCCCATCCTCTATCTTCTCCCACATCCTTTCCTTTTCCATAACCGCCAAGATGTGTGTTCTCTGTTAGTTTACTTCAAACCCACGGAGTACAGTTGGTGCTGTCCTTATGCTCTCGGAGCCTGGTTGATTTCCCAGGGGTCGTAGATTTAAAAAGTCTCTCTCCTAGAAGCCATCAATGGCCAATAGTGTCTAGGTGGGACTGAGTGCCACCTCCACTGCGGTTCCTGCCTTTTAATTCTTGCTTCTAAAATGTATGCTGGAGCAGCCTCTGAGCGCCCCAGACTTGTAGTGGGTCACTGAAGGTACCCCAGGGTATTCAACATGCAAGCCTCAGCTCAGGCAGCCTGAACAGTAGCTGGGTCAATTGCTGGGTCAGTTACTATGTGTGGCTACAAAAAGAGAAGGTACCTTGGGACCTCAGTTTCTCCTTTGGTGGCATAGGGATAACTGGGAGCTGACTTCATAGGAGTGATTTAAATTGGTGGAGTTTAATACTCTGATGGAGTTTAATACTCTGCACCACCCCATCCCTCCACACTCCAACTTCCCCCCCACCCCAAACCCACACCCCCCCTGTGCCTACCCCCAGTGTAGATTGTATGAAAACTGGGCACATCTGCATGCAATGTCATCACAAGCCAGCAGAGGGGGCTGAGAACCAAGCTTGCTTTATCCAGTGCCTTCCTATTTTGCTTCCTCAGTACAAGGAAGAGCAGCTCACCGCAGCATGCGAGAAGTGGCTGGCAATGAACTTGGTACCTCTGGTGGGGACACAGATCCACCTCCGGCACATCCCTCAGCATCTGCTGCATAAGGTGCTGAAGTCCCCCAGGTTAGAGCTGGTGTGCTGCCTCCAGGGTGGGTGTGGGGAGAAGCATGGGCTGGCGGGGGGGATGTGCCAGTAGTGGCCACACCCACATGTATGTGGTCTTGCCATTTAGTTTCCAGTTCCCCACTTTCTTAACAACCAGGCCTTGGATGAGAGCTGAAACTCAGGGTATTACAGGTGGGGTCAGGAAGAAGGAAGTTCTTTAAGCTCCTTCTAGCTAGGGACCTGCTGGTGTCAGCTATCTTCTTTACCTGCCTAGGTCAGAAAAGCAAAAGACTATTGCCTAAGTCATTAAAGAAAAAGAATTCTGACAACATTCTTTCACAGTAATTATGGAAAACAAAGAAAGGCACAAAAAGAAAAGAAAACCTCTCACCTCAAAAAAAGATTTTATCTCTAGTCCTTACTCCTCTACTGAATATTTCTAACCCTGAATATCCAACTGCCTGCTTGGCCCTTTCAGAGCCCTCTGCCCTTGCTGCACACCACTCTCCTGGCACAAAGTCCTTGGAACACATTAGAACCTTGGGAGTCCTCTGGACACCGCTTTGACCTCACCTTGACCATGAGGCCAATTCTGTTTCCAAAGTGAGCACTCCTCAGTGCCAGTGCCATCCCAAGACGAAGTCTCCATCATCTCGTGGCCCATGGCACAATCCCCTAATGAGACACTTCTAATGTGGATCTTGCTTCTGGCTTTGATCTCTGGTTCTACCATCTATGGTCTGACACAGCCACACAGGGACCTCCCTAGAACTCTCTGCAGAGGGGTAGCCATACTGTGCATGCTTCGTCCTGCCTGGAATCTCTTCCTGCCCTGCCAAGCTCCGTCTCCTCCTATCTCCAGCTGTTTAAGGATCCAGGGTCAGTTCTTGGCTTTTAGCTGATTCCTGATGTTTTACCAGCATTTGCATCTCAGTAACTGGCCTTCAAGCGCCTGTTTTTCTCCATCTCAGATTATTTCCTTATGTTATACTTCCAGAAATGAAATTGCCAAGATGAAAGGCCTGTTTGTTTTTAATTCCTGGTTTAAAAATATTTTATTTGGAACATGAGGAAAAACAAGAATAGTGCAAAGACCATTGGCTCCTCAATTTGCAATAGTTTACCTGGACTACATTCATCTTAAACTGAGCACAACCCATGTTGAAAATGCATTGGGATATCTTTATTTTCCCTGACCTCACAGCCTGCCTCAAAGCCACCATAGGATATCCATTGTTCACTGTAGAGTAGAGCCTTTTCCTTGCCAGCCCCTTTGGCTTTTCCCCCGCCAGTTGCCTGGGCTCTGCTGTGTTGCAGTCCCCAAATAAACACACAGGAAGCTACATTAATTATGAAGCTGTTTGGCCGTTTGTTTGGTTCTTACTGGCGGCTATCTCATAATTGTTAATATAAGTATTTCTCTTACTTAGATCTGTTGACTGACAGGGCTGCCATGTCAGTATGGTTGCCCAACATCGTGAGAAACGACCACACTGTACTTATCACTCTTTGAGGAAAAGATCAAGATTTGATGCTTGCTTCCTATGAATGTGGAGGGTTTTAGCCCATCACAGAGTAGAAAAGACCACTGTCGTCCCCAGGTACACTCTTTGCTCTGAGTCACCTACCTTAGTGTTCTATCCCTGGTCTGTTTGCATCATTATTGCACACACACACACACACACACACACACACACACACACACACACACACACTTCTCTGAACTGGAGTAAGCTATGTACAAATGCTCCTTCACCCAGCGTGCTATTTGGGAAAGTTTCCTAAGAAAGAGAATTTTTAAAAATATAATGACAAGGTGGTTATGGACTTCAGGAAGCTTGCCATTGGTATGATTGGCATCATACTTGAATATCACTGACCTAGTAACATTATTTTCTCTCCAATTCAAGGTTTAGTTTAAGACCACTTGTTATATATTCAGTTGCCAAATGGGCTGGTTAATTTTTATTGCAAACTTGACATGACCTAGAGTCACCTGGGAACAGGGAACCTCAACTGAGGAACTGCGCTGATTAGACTGGCAAGTGTGTCTGTGACAAAAGTCTTGATAGATGTGGGAGGGCCCAGCCCCTGAGGTGCCATCCCTAGGCAAATGGAGCTGGGTTATATAAGAAAGCTAGCTAGGAATGAACCAGAGAGAGACAGACAGACAGAGACAGACAGAGAGAGAGGGACAGAGACAGACAGAGAGAGACAGACAGAGACAGAAAGAGAGAGAGAGAGAGTAACAGAGACAGAGAGACAGAGACAGACAATCAGAGACAGAGACAGACAGAGGGGGAGGAGGGAGAGGGAGAGAGAGAGTAACAGAGAAAGAGAGACAGAGACAGAGACAGACAAACAGAGACAGACAGAGGGGGAGGAGGGAGAGGGAGAGAGAATAGGCAGTGTTCCTCCATGGTTTCCGCTTCATTTCACGCTCGAGCTCTCACTGATGGACTGTGACCTAGAAGTGTCAACTGAAATAAACCCTTTGCCTCCCTGAATTGCTCTTGCCCATGGTGTTGTGTCACAGCAACAGAAAGGCAACTAGAACATCAAGTCTCTTTGGGACTTCTTTTAGACGGCTCTTGGTGCCCACAGACATTTTCTAGAGACATGTTCCCTTTGAGTAATTTTCAAAGGTGGAAATCATATTCTACTTTAAAGAAATACTAGTAGTAAAATTAAAAACACAAATGTTTGTCATGTTTATGTGGCAAAAAAATCCTTACTTTAGAAATTCTATATAGAGGGGTTACAGAGATAGCTCCGCTAGTAAAAGTGCCTTTTGTACAACTATGAGGACTTGAGTTCAGATCCCAGCATCCAATAACAAACAAAGCATGGACCCATGCATGCCCATAACTCCAGGGTTGTAGGGTGGTAGAGACAGGGGGTGGTATTTCTAGAGCTTGCTGGTTGCCAGGCTAGAAGAAAAATGTGAGCTTCCGGACCAGGGAGAGACCCTGTCTCAAAGGAATAATGCATACATACAGTGATGATAGAAGACACTTGATGCCCTTAGTTGGCCTCTGTTAGCCTCCATGAGTGTGTGTACTGCTCCATGCAGGATGAATAGCCTATTCCATGATTTAGATTTACCAAGTGATACCCAATGCCCTCAAATGAGCGAGGAAGGAGGGCGGCAAGGCAGGGCCCTGGTATTGAGGGACACCATTATCCAAGAAGATCCCAGAAGCCAGCTCGAGAGCAGCAGGGCACTGGTGGGCCCCAGACACTCTGCCCTGGTCCCCTAGATTTTTCTCACTCTCATACCCACCACCCTCCACTTCAGCCTCCACCAAAGCAAAGGTCAGAAAATTGGAGAACGTGTAAACATGGCTTCCTTAGACATTACATAACCGCATCCCTCCCTCCCTTGGAAAGGCTGAGCTGTCCCACACCGGTAACATTTCACTGAAAAAGTGGGGAAAAAAACATCTGACTACAACTAGAACATTGGTTATGGCACAGGCCTGACACCATGCTCACCAGGCAGGAAAATAGTTCCAGAGCATTACGTGTCAAGTGTCTAGACTTGCCAGCCTGGCAGACGTGAGGTGGGAACTAGTTCCTGTCCTTCTGGCTGGGTGCAGGAGGCACCTGTGCAGAAAGGCCAGGGTTTACTGCCTAGGAGCCTACATCCTCAGCTCACACGGCCTGAAGTAGACAAAGACTCACTCAGCCCAGGCTCCTCACTTCCTCTTAAGTTGATCTCGCTCTTCAGTGGTCACAGAAGCTCCCATCTGCAATTCCATGCTGGGAAGGCAGAGCCAGATGGATCCCAGGAGCACACTTAGTCTTCAGCCTACCTCAGTCAGCAAGCGTCAGGCCAGCGAGAGGCCCTCTCAGAAAATGAGGCAGAGAGTGATTGAGGAAAACACTTAACGTCAATTTCTGGCCTCTACACACACATACATACACATATAAAGGAAATTAAAAAATAAATGTAATCCGACCAGAGGGTCTCTTGTCAGGGTATTTGTTGAGAAGGGTTGGCACCCCCACTTTCCACATCCAATACACTTTCACCAGGCGCTGTACTGCCTGCTTACCCTTTCAGTACCCCCAACCTGACACTGTGCAAGTCACTACCTCTTAGAGCAGAGAGCTAGACAGGGCTCCTGGGACCACATCCTGTCTCCATCATGACACCCTCTCCTATTCATGATGGAAGTGAGGCCTCCCAGAAAGAGGTAAACCAGGCCTGGGATGTGAGTCCTGAGAGGTTGTGTGAGCCCAGAGTAGGAAGCATGGAGCGTGCACACATGCACACACGCATGCGTGCGCGCACACACACACACACACACACACACACACACACACACACACACAGCTAGGGATGGAGCATTCCTGGGCCCCACTCAGCTAATGTGTTAGCTACCCACTGTCACTTCACCCCCTGCTGCCCAGACTGTGAGAAAGGCACAAGGTTCACTAGCCTTTCTTAGTAGAAGCCTTTACCTCCAGGCTGTCCAGCATTTTCTCTCTGACCTTGACCTCATCTTTTTGGTTTGACTTTCCATTTTGCAAACTATATACAAATATACACTTTTCCTGGCCTCCTGGGCCTCTGGGCTTAATTTGTTTGCCTAGAATATGGTTCTCAGTTCATTTTCCATGTAGAGGTCACCACCAGGTGACCCTTGCTCTTCTAAGTCTAATTTATGAAAACCTCATTCCAAGTTCTGTGTTCCTGGAAGCCCAGAGGACTATCTAGTTCCCATCTACACAAGACGGTACTCTGCAACAGAGGGTCCGGTCCAGTCCTTCTGTTTCCAAGATCCTCTGCTTCATCCGCGTTGGTGGTATAGTGGTGAGCATAGCGGTTTTCCAATATCCCCTGCCTCCTATCTGTGACCCAGGGAGGCTCAGAATCTCATGAGTTCCCTGAAGAAAAAAAACACGGTGAGAATGGCTTAGCAGGTAAAAAGTGCTTGCTGTGCAAGCCTGATGACCCTAGTTCATCCCCAGAACCCAAGTAAAAAACTGGATGTGGTAGGCACACATCTGTAATCCCAGCACTCCTGCTATGAGATGGGCGGTGGAAACCTAAAAGCTCAAGGGATAGCCTGGGGTACAGAGTGCAGTAGAAACAAGGGAGTTACTGCCTCAACAAGGTAGAAGGTGAGAGCTGAGTGAGTGCCCAGAGCTGTTCTCTGGTCTCTACACATATCAGAACATGTGAGATCTGTATTCATATATACCTCTGGCAAACATAACAATGCCTCCCAACTACTGAGCACTTGTCAAACACAGAACATGCTGAGTGGGTATCCAGAGGGCTCATCGCCACAGCAGCCCAGTGTGCTGGGTTCTTTCACCTACAGTTTTTACCTGGGAAATGAAGTGTCAGTCAACACTGTGTTTCCCCTTCTGCCACCCCACACACAGATGAGCTGGATTTGAACCCAGGTTAGAGCTCCCTGGAGCCATGGCCATCATCAGACTCTAATATAACTTTGAGACCAGTTCCTTTACTGATGATGGTCAAGATCAATAAGAATTTTGATCTACTTTTTACTAAAACATTAAAATTTGTGTGTGTGTGTGTGTGTGTGTGTGTGCATACACATATCCCAGCACACAGAGGACAGCCTATGAGAATCAGTTCTCTTTTTCAACCATGGGTCACAGGGAATGAATTTAGCTCATCAGACTTGGCAACAAGCCCCTTTATCTGCCCAGACATCTCTCTGGTCCATTTTACTGTACAAGTTTTTATACAGAAAACAAAACATTAACTGCTCTAAATGAACAGATAGTAACATTTTATCATAAATTAAGAAATAAATTGCTGGGCGTTGGTGGTGCACAACTTCAATCCCAGTTCTCAGGAGGGAGAGGCAGGTGGGTCTCTGAGTTCAAGGCCAGCCTGGTCTACAGAGTGAGTTCCAGGACAGAAAGAAAGAAAGAAGGAAAGAAAGAAAAATATCAGCCTGGGAGTGGTGACCCACATACCTTTAAACCCAGCACTCAGGAATCAGAGGCAGGTAGATCTCTGTGAGTTTGAAGCTAGCCTTGTCTATATAGTAAGCTCCAGGCCAGCCAGGGCTACATAGTGAGACCCTGTCTCAAAAAACAAAACAAAACAAGCAATAAAATATTACCAACAGCTCTCCTCTTTTCCTCAGTGCTATTCCATTCCTGAAAACAAGAGGATGCCTGCAGGCATCCCCGATCACGTTTGTGAACTCTATCTGCATGCTAGTACATCCACAAAGAATGCATTATCTTGTCTTGCAAATCAGCACTCTTATAGTGGTAGGGAGGTATCACAACCTACTCACAGCTGGGCATTGTGCTCCCTTCCAACCCAGGCTGATGCGTTTAGTCGGAATTTCTAATTCTGAGTGCTGTGCAGGGTTCTATGGAATAAGTCCACAACCATCTCTTCTTCATTCCTCTTCTAAAGGCCTTTCATTTTATTTAGTTTTTTTTTTTTTTTGCTATGACAAACAGAACAACAATGGATATCCTTGTTCATAGCCCGTTCATGTGGGTGTGGCTTTCTCCAAGGTCAGTGTTCAGAAAGAAGGTTTATTGTTTATGCACAGCATTTTCCTTGACAAATAGAACAAGAAGACAACGTCTTATGCATGACAGCGATTTTCTCCTAAAGAACAAGGATCAGTTACGCTGAGGTGGCTGCAAGCAGACACCAGGGAACATGCGCAGCACAGCGTGGGAGACTGAGTTCCATCTGCATTGAAGTCTCCAAAGCTCTTGGATTAATTAAAAAGTGTGTGTGAATGTTCTCCTTGCGGTTACTTCCTGCAGGGGCTAACGCAGCCATGTCATATGCAGCTGACATTGAGACAGCATTGTCATCTACAATGTTCAAGAAGTGTGCAATGAAATTGCTAAAAAGCAAAACAAAAAAACCTCACAATGTTTTCAAAAATTTTATGATTTTATATCAGACTGTACTCATCACTCTCCTGGGTCCATGAAGCATTTGGGGCTGCAGGTTGGATATGCCTGGAAATGGCTTTTAGAGACTGATGCTGTCCTAAACACAGAGACCTCAACTTCAGCAAATGTCTTACTAAAAGCCAGGATCTGAGTGATGGAGCCCAGACCATCCCTCTTGCTATTTCTGACTTGTCCTTCGTAAGATCTCAAGAAACGTTCTAGACTTGAAGGCCACAAGTGCAGCATCTACTCTGGAAGCCACACAATCAGATCCCTCCACCCAGTGGACTAAATTCTCTATGGGGATGTGGCATCTGCCTCTAAGAAGTACCACCCTTTCCTGCCTTGTTGCTGTGGCCTAGACAGTGACCAACTTGGATCTGTCTGGCCAGACTCAAGACAGGGTATCTGTAGGTGGCCTGGAAACAAATAAAAAGAACGAAGCAATTATATCGTGTCCAGAAATAGTGTGTGAGGTGGGAGGGTTGCATTTGTATTCTCTTTTAGAGACATGACTTAACTTGGTTTTCACCTACAATTACTCCTTGAGGTGGGGAATGAAGAAACTATGCCATATTTTATAACCAGGGTCTGATACTAGAAATATCAGTGGGTTTAAGAAGTGTTGAAACAGTTCCTTTGATAGTTGAGCCAGCAGAAGCCCGAGGCCTTGGAGATAGCTGCAGTGGCTTTGGATATAGTGAGCTTTTTTTTTTTCCCCACTATGTTACTCTGACTGTCCTGGCTCACTGTATAGACCGGGCTGGCCTCAAAGTCACAGAGATACACCTGCCTCTGCCTCCCAAGTGCCAGGACTAAAGGCATGTGTCATTACACTATGTGGCATCGTGGGTTCTTGAGGTGATGTCTCTTGCTCCTTTGGCCACAGCTTGGGCTCTGGAACCAGGAGCCATCACTGTCACTTTGAATAAGACCTGCCATTGCTGAGCACATTGTCATGTGCCGGGCACTGCCCTGAGCACTTTATCTGTGTGTGGTCAGCATAGTAATGGCTCAAGGATGCCTACATAATCCCCGGAACCTGTGACTATGTCAGAGTACATGACAAAGGTGAGCTGAAGGTCGCTAATTAGCTGACTTCAAAATTCGAGGTTACCCTGGGGTATAGGAGTCAGAGAGAGGGGAGTTAGAGGATACTGCATTGCTGGCTCAGCCAAAGAAGGAGCCAAAGCTGGGGGTGACAGAGCTTTCCAGGTGCCAAAACAGGCAGGGGAAAGATTCTCCCTAAAGCCTCCAGGAAGGACTAACCGATCCTGTTCCCACCATGATGAGAGCCCAGCAAAGTCCCTTTTGTATTTCTAGCCTCCAGAACCATGATGAATTTGTGTCCTCCTAAGCTGCCCTCAGACAGCTAGAGCAACAACTGGACACTTACACAATGAGTCCTCTCCTCTGGTCTTCACCACTGCCATTCTGAGAAGTGACTAGGATTGCCCTTTCACAGCTGAGCGATCACAGCCATACCCCAGAGGTTCCGGACCCATGCTTGGGTCTGAGCCCAGGACAGTGTGACCTGAGATAAGTTATTCATTTCAGCCTCAAGCCAGGCCAAGGTCCAGTGAGGCCAATGAGACACTCACTTTGGCTGCAAAATTTAGCAGGCGAGAAGGGGATAATGGCTGACTGAATAGCCTGACATATTAAGATATAAATATCTGTGTGCAATTGATAAAAATTAAGATTAATGCAAAGAGCCAAAATGAACACAAATTTAAATGTTAAATACAATACTAGGACCAACTTCAACAGCTATCAAAGCCAAGTGCATCTCTCTCAATGGCATAGGCTTATGCTATAGGATTACAGTTAAAACCTGTAATGACTTGAGAACGTAGCATTTATTGAGAGCTCACCCTTGAGAACATCACTCCAGTAACAGCATGGCGGGTAGCTGAGAGTTCAGAGCCCAGCATCTGGTTCCTAGTTCTCCATTGGCTGAGTTGAGTTGCCCTGAACAAGTTACTCAGCATCTCACTGTCTGAGACCACTTACAGACTCCGGCTAACTTCGTCTCACCCCCAGACTGGATTCAACCTCTTCTTTTTCTTCCCAGTGGCCTGTCCCTCCTAGTCCTGATGTGTCTTCTCCATCTGCCATTTTGACCAGGTTGTTCACCTTCAGTGAGTTACACCTCCTGAAAACCTTACTCATGTGGGTTTACCTGCAGCTGAACTGCAAGGTCCAGGTGATTCCAATCCACGAGACCATGCTGGCATATTTTAGCAGGTAATGCACCTTCACGTTGATGGATAAAATGTATGCATCTTGGTTTAAACCCTTTCAATTAATTAGCTAATCATTTACTTATTCGTTGTACGGGTGTGCATACTGCAAATGCACGGGGGTGTTGGAGGATGACTTGCAGAGATCAGTTATCTCCTTCCACTGTGGGAATCCCTGAGACCCAAACTCAGGTTGGCAGGTTTAGTAGCAGGGCTTTTACTCGCTGAGCTGTCTCTATATCTATCTGTTTTGCTTAAAATATTGTGAGGGGGAAAGCATCTATAATATGGTTTTCATTAGCATCACCTGAAGAGCATGGGGTGAAGCCTGTGGCGACAGAATGCTTCAAACCACTCAGAAGAGTCAATGGCACACAGGTGTTTTGCCATGGGATATCCACATGTTTGGGGGGCTGGTGGGTCTGGTAACAACCATTATGCAGAAAGGAAAATGACCATGCTACACTGACCTAAAACATAAGGTCAGACGTTTTCATTTAAATACAGATAGATAGTATATAATATTCTGGGTTTTCTGGAAAAATGAAAAGCATTTGAATGGGCAGAAGTTTACTAGCATGAATGTAGTTTCTGATACTCTCTTGCCTTAAATGACCTAAAATTAGTGTATCTCAACATTCAAGTAAAAACTAATAGAGTGATAATACTGTGTACCCTTTAAGAGTGTCTTACTGTGCACTCCCGAGAAAGCTTTCTATTCATTTTATCTGCAGAATACTGAAGGGTTTTTGTTCATTTTAATCCTTCTCTCCCTCCCCCCCTCTCTTTCTCTCTCTCTCTCATGTGTATGTGTGTGGTGTTTGCTTGTATGTATGTACATGTACATGTGTATTGTATGTGTGGAGGGTGTGAGTATATGTGTGTGGTATGTATGTGTGTGGTAAGTGTGGAAGGTGTATGTGTGCACACAGGCTTATGTGTGAGTGCAGGGATGTGTGTGCCACAGAACACACGTGGAGGCCAACCTTGGGTGTTGGTCTTCACTCTGCCTTGTTTGAGACAGAGTCTCTTGTTTGCTATTAGATGCAACAGGTGAGCTGGTCATCATATTTCCGGGGGTTCTCCTGTCTCTGCCTCCTGTCGCTCCACAGGAGCACTGGGTTACAGACACATGTGCTACTAAGCCTGACTTCTCATGGGTTCTAAGGGTCCAAACTCAGGTCCTCATACTTGCATGGTGAGCACTTTACCTGCTGAGCCATTTCCTCAAGTTAAGGTCTATTCTGGCTCAGGGGCAAGGGTTTCAATGGTTGACCAGCCCCATTACCTTTGGGCTTGTGTTGTGGGTACCAATCAGCTCACTTCATGGTGACCAGGAAGCAAAAAGAAAGAAAGGATTAGGGTCATAATATCTCTTCCTAGAGCAGATAGAAGCCTCATTTCCTCCCATTGTGCCCAAACCTGAAGGCTTCTCCATCCCTAGTGACCAGGTCTAACCCATGAGCTTAGGGATAGTATTTAAGAGCAAACTGTAACACTTCCATATTAAATGTGAAATCAGCATCCATATCATCCAAGGTGGTGGATAAGTGTGGTGACCCCAAGAAGCTGCAAAGAGTCTGCTCTAGAAAGGGAGCCATGGGCAACCTTACTTTCTTCTCTGTCCCATGTCCCCATAGGAACAGGAATCCAGGCCTCTTGGCACAATGAGGCATGTTCTTTGCACATGGGAGCTTAGCAGATAAGTATGTCTTCACATATTAATGAGCAAAGTAACCTGTTTGAGCCAAGTTTCATCTGTATTGTTTTGATATATCTCATCCATTCCTGGAACATCTGGGTACTGTGCTAACTGCAAACCCTGTTCTTTTCTTGTCTTGTTATTTGGGGAAAGCTTTATTTGTGGCAGAATTGTGTGTGCTGTGCTCTGTTTCTATATAATTTGCTTGGAACCCAAATGTTTTAGTCCCACTTTCCCCCTATTTTAATATCCCAAAGACACTCTTTCCAATGAGTCATGCCCACCAGGGAAAATTACCACTTGGTTGCAGGCCAGCTCTTGTCTTCACACAGGGAGATAGGGAGTGAGCTATCATGTAGTGACTCATTGAGCTGTGGTTCAGGTGTGAGGAAAATGTGCTAGAAGGGAGTTGAAGTGTGGACCCCTCTACCAAGGATGAGCTTCATGGAGCTGGCCCATGGTCCTCCTTTGCAGTGCGTAGTGCACATAGCCATTTCTCAGCATACTGACTCGCAATTGACTCCAAATCTCACACTTCTATCCACCCAACATTGCCCCAAACCCTATGTCCTTCAGTTTTCCTTGGGACTGCTATTCACCTGTATCCAAGTCATCCCACTGGCCCAACCTTAGCAGTGAGGAGAGCACCTTCAACTGGGGCAGGGTGCACATTGGTGAAATCACTTAAATGACAGTGATCTTAGGCCATCTTCTTGAGAAGAAACGGAGTGGACACTGAGGACCCGCATTATGGGGACCTCCAATGTGAGACTGTCAGAATGTGGCAGCAGTGAGACAAGCTGCTTAAATACTAGAGTGCAAGCGTGGGCAGCCTACCAGCGAGGAGGCAGAGCTGCAGCTGTGGGAGCAGTCTGGCCGGCTAGGCATCCTAAAGGAGTTTAGGAACAGTAACCAAGTGCAGCAGTCACATAGGTCCCTTCTCACCTGTTCCAGCCTTGTCCTAAGAAAGGATAGAGGCAAATGTAGATATTTATGTCTGACCTATTTGCACTCCATTTCCTTTCCCTCACGGACTGCTACAAAATGTTTCATTCACTCACCAAATACTTCCTGAATGTGTAACATGTGACTTGTACACTGATAGAAGGTTTCTCGATTCAGCCAGGTGCTTTTTTTGCTAAGTACACCAGTGTAGGAAGGGAGCCTATGCTCCCACATAAGCACACATGGGCACACACACATGCAATACACACACATGCATACATATGTGTGCACACACTTATACACACATGCACATAAGTATGCAGGCAGACACACGTTGGCACCTTACAGGCTGTTGCTTCCCGGTGATTATTTTGGGAAAGTAGACAGGCTGTCCAGACTATCTAGAATGAACCTTAACATCTCCTTATAGGAAAGCATATGTAAACAAAGCTGATGCTTTCCTCCACCGAGGAAAAGTCCCCATTCCAATCACTTACTGGAGAATCCGGGAAAGCTGCTTTATTCGTTCGCTTTCCTGATGCTGTGATAAAATATGGACCAAAAGAAACCTGGAGAGAGAAGGGCTGATTTTAGCTTTCAGGTTATAGGCCATCATGCAGAGACCATGATGGAACCATGCTTGCTAGCTTGCCCAGATTGCTTTCTTACATGACCCAGGACCACTTACCCAGGGGTGGCACTGCCCACAGTGTCCTGGATGCTCCCACATCAACTGTTAATCAAGCAAATGTCCCACAGATGTGCCTACAAGCCAATCTGATGGAGGCAATTCCTCTGGTGAGGTTGTCACTGCCTGGGTGAGTCTGGTTTCTTTCAAGTTGACAAAAGTTAACCAATCAGCTAGTAAAGCCCACATGCTTGATAATGACCAAAGCAGGAAACATCAAAGCCCATTTAAAGTATTATTTATTGCTGGGTGGTGGTGTCACACACTTTTAATCCCACTTGGGAGGCAGAGGCAGTCTAGTCTACATAGTGAGTTCCAGAATAGCCAGGGCTACACAGAGAAACTCAGTCAAGAAAAAAAACTATATATATTGCAAAATTTATTCATTTATTCATTTGTTTATGTGTATAAGGAGTTTGTCTGAATTGTGTTTGCATGTTCCACATGTATGCAGTACTTACAGAAGATGGTATGAGATCCCCTAGGATTGAAGTTAAAGGAAGTTGTGAGCTGTCATGAGGATACTGAGAATCAAACCCAGAGCCTCTGGAAGACCAGCCAGAGCCCTTAACTGCTGAGCCATCTCTCCAGCCCCTGAAGTAATTTTGGAAACTAAACTGTAGGATATCTGTGTGGAAAAGCGCACAGCCCCTAAGAGAATTTTCACATATGATTACACCTGTGTGACCAGACCCAGTGTGCATTATTAAGCTGTTGTCTCTTAGAACAGCTCCGCAGATCCTCAGCCAGGGGTGTGGGTGGGGTGATAGCATATTCTGGGACAAGGATGTCTAAGCATCCAGCTCCACGAGTCCTTCCCATCCCATGCCTTGTCTTGCTCTGACTGAAGCTTCTGCCTCAGTTTCCCTTCAGTGTAGCCCTCTGGAGCCTGAGTCTCCTTCTCAGGTCCCTGGGTATTGTGGGTCTGAGTCTTTCCCAGCCTTCTACTTCTCCAAGTAGCTTCTTGGGTTTCAGAATCTAGAGAAGCAGTAAGATACTGTACAATGTCCTAGAGAGATGGAAGGATCATGAGGAGCCTGGATGTAGGAGGTCCTTCAAAGGGGCAGCTGTGGCTGTCATTAGACCAAATTCAGGTGAATCTTGCTCAGTCTCCCCTTTTGAACAATTGTCAAGAGCTGTCTTCACAATCAGGAAGCTGATGGGGCTTGGCTTGACAGAAGAGCATGGGGACAGCAGACCAGGCTATGTGGATGCAGAGGCAGTCACACACACATCCTTGTAGAAGAACCTGCACCACTGGGGTTCCTACTGCACACACTGGGTGAGTGGGGGAGTGGAAGGTTGGCAGAACCAGATCATTTTGGTCAACCCATCCAGCACATTGCAAGATAAGTGCTGGGTACTGCAAAAGGCACCATAGGAAGGAAGAAGCAAAACAGACACAAATCTCTTCCTTTCTAGAGCCTAGATAGGGGAAGCCTAAGGTGCAGGTTGGTAGAGGCCCTTGGTCTACATCCCACATCTGCCATTTACTTCAGTAGAGCCTTGGACCAGAAACCAAACCCTGATACATGGAAGTGACCATGCTCATGTCCCAGATGTGAGTTGAAGAGAGGGACCCATGAAGCCCTGGGCAGAAGGAATTGAGCAGCCTTGGCACCTTTGGACCACCGTGGAACTGTGTTGTTTACCCCATGTTAGGGTTAGGAGTAAAGAGGCCATTTCCTGCCTCTTTGATCCCATAAGGTGTCTAGGTCTTCTGCACTGAATTACAGTTTTCTCCTTTCAGCTGCTTCTGTCAGGTGTTGCCATGGCAACAAACAAACAAATAAAAAGTAACTGATACACCCACATATAACATCTCCAGATTCCTCCATGGTACAGCACATGTCAGAATCCTCAGGTCTGTACCTCAGCTCAATTTTGAAATGCAGGGCCAGTGGAGCCCTGAGCCTCACACTTACTCGTTAGGAAGGGAAGCTGACTCCAGCAGATGCTGGAAAGGAGGAAGCAAGAAAACCGTGGCTGGAATGATCTTAAATTTACAGTCTGTAACCTCAGAAGGGGATTTGCTTCGAACACCACCTTTCTGGATGTCTGGGAAGAACACACCTTGAAAACAGGACCCAAAGGTGACCTGTTTGTGTTTAGTTTCCAGGAACTATCTTCCCCAAGGGGTCAATCCCTGAGGGTTGAGGAACCTTAGACAATTTGCTCCTGAAAACCAAGTGCCAAATGAGGTCCATGCATGGACAGAGCACAGTGGCTGGGAAAACAGGTGGTACAAGACCTGGAATTCATCAGCATAGTCAGGCAGGAGGTCCCCAGACTCAGCAGCCCACCTGCTCCTATTGTATGACATCAGATGGAAGTTTGCTGTCACCATCAAGACAGGCAGGAAGGTGCTGGGCTAGACAGAGGATGTCACCAAGTCATAGTCGAAAAGTGAGGTTGATTAGTTCCAGAGTGTAGGTCACACCCCACAGGCCTTTTGAGAGTTCAGAAAACCAGAGGCTGCCGGGTAGGTGGATCTCTGTGAGTTTAGACAGCAGTGATGATGAATTACCAGGTACAGATGACTTTGCTAGGTTCCAGCAGCTGTGCCAGGTTCTTCCCAAGCACTGTCACCTCAGCTTCTCCCATTCAACCTAGGAGACACATATGACTCTTGTCTCCACAGAGGAGAATTAAGCTCAGACCGGCTCAGTCACATGACTGATAGGCCAGGAGTAGATCATGGTGTGCCTGACTCCAGGCCCCCATATTGGTTGGCTGATGAGCTGATCATGACCTCTCAGACCAGCCGTAACAGTGTGTGTCCTCGCCATTTTCCCACAGGAATTTAAATGCTTGTCTCAAAGCTCTTCCCCAGTTCTCTGAGACAGGATGGTTGTGCAGAGAGGGCCTGGCTGGCAGCCCTTTTGGCCCAAGTGCTTCCCTCTAGGCCTGGCCTTTCCCTGCTGTGGTTGCAGCTGCTGTATTCAAGCTGCAGCTCACTGATCACCCTTATGTCAAGGGTGGTAGGTGTGAATCTCCATGTGCACATCTTTACATCTTTCCCTTGGGAATCTGACCTTCTCTACCTGTTTCTGACCTTCATTCTGTGTTGCAATTAATCAGCACGAACACTGACAAGGTCATCGCAGAACTGGTAGTGAAACCAGGGACCTATAGTTGGCTCTCAGGTTCTTCCTAATTCTACCATCAATGCTTTCAAAGGCCTAATTTGGTTCTTACTGCAAGGGCAGTATCTGTTAAGAAGTCAAATGTTCAGTTCTGGGGTTCTAGGCCTGGCCAACACTCAGTTCTCTGTAAAATAGAGCTGACAGAACTTACCTTGTCTGTTCCAAAGATTTGTGAAAGTCAAAGAAGAAAATGTAGAAAAATGTCCTGTGAATGGCATATGTTGCTGTCAATCATTCAAAATGTGTGTTCTGGGCATCTAGTGTATGCACAGCTCTCTTTTTATAATCTAAGTGGTCCCTCCTTCCACACTTCTGCCTTGCCTAGTCCTGCTGGGGAAACTACTAGTCATGGCTTTCAGTAGCTCATACATTCCAGAGAAGAGTTTTCTGAAGGCTCTCTACTCTTCTCTTCCAAGCTTTCCCAAGAAGTGCTGCTTTCTGGAACAAAATGCAGGACAGGCCTGGACACCACTCTTCCTCTGCCTACGTCTGCATGGCATCACCAGTGGTAAGTGTCACCATCTGCATGGGAAGGCTGTTTGGGATGAAACCCCAGGAAATGTTGCCACCGGAATGCTCCCTGGGATTGTCACTCCTAAGATGTATGACTTCTGTCTCAGAAGCCACACCTATAAAATGGGGGATAACCAGAAGTTCCATGCATGGCACGATGGGTAGAAAAGTCTATAATAGTTTGCTTTCTGTCGTTGCGATAAACATCATGACCAAAAGCAAGTTAGGGAGGAAAGGTATATTTGGCTTCCACTTCTAGGCCTATTGGTGAGAGAAGTCAGGGCAGGATCTCAAGCAGAAGCAGAGAAAGGAACCATTGGGGAAAGTTGCTTACCTGCTTATTCCCAGGTTCACATTCAGCTAGCTTTCTCATGAGACCCAGGTTCACATGTCTAAGGACAGCACCAACCAGAGTGGACCAGACCCTCCTACATCAATTAGCAGTCAAGAAAATGCCCACACAGACATACCCACATACCACTCTGATGGAAGCAAGTCTTCAATTGAGGGTCCATCCTCCAAGTGTGTCTAGTTGAGAGCCAAGGCTGGCTTCACACCTGTGATTTTTCCTGCCTTCGCTTCCTGAGTGCCAGGATTACAGGCCTGTGTCACCCCCAACAGCCCGTCCCCCATTTCTTTCCTTTTTCTTGAGGCAGAGTATCATTTACCCCAGGCTAGCCTCAAACTCAGTATGTAGTCAAGGATGACTTTGAACTTCTGGTCCTCCTGCCTCCATCTCCCAAGTACTAGGAGTGTAGATGTTTCCCTACACTCCATTTATGTGGTGCTGGGGATCTGACCCTGTTGAGTTATGCATGCTAGTCAAGTACTCTACCACCTGAACTGTGTAATATACCCACGCCCAAGGCTGTTTTCTTGCTATCTAATTGAGTCACCTGCTGCTGCATGGGACTAGCTTCTAGGTCACTTGTTTGGCAGTTTGGGAGAAAAATTGGCTCTCTTTTAAAAAGCATTTCAACTGTTGGAACTATTGGTCCCAGCAGTTGAAATGCTTGAAGTTCTTCTCCAGAGAAAGAAATACGGGCTTCCCGGATTCTGTATTGTGCGCCTAGCTTCTTTATCAGCTAGACATCAGTTCTTTAGAAGTCTTCAGTTACTTCTGCTCAAAGTTTGATGCAAAGCATAGCTAAGCCTGGCTCTCTTCTTTCCACCCATCTGTGAGCTACTCTGCCTCTGGTTTCTAACACGCTCAGGCTATGCATGTTAACCTCAGCTTTATTTCCTGTCCCCTCCTGCGGTTAATACTGAGCAGAGTATGAGGCCAGAAGAGGTCACTGCCATTTATTGGCTTTATAATTGGCTAAACTGATGTGGTACCACAAACAGGCTTGGGAACAGAGCTTTCAATTCCCCTTTATGACACACACAGGAACATTCTCCACCTTACATATTGAGGAAGAGTCTCTCACTAGTTGGGCTGGTCTAGCTAGCCAACTTGCTCCAGGGATCTCCTCTCTGCCTCCCCAGCTCTGGGACTACAGGTGTCCACCCAGAACTTCAAATCCTTACACATGTATGACAAGCACTCTGTTCACTGGGCTAATTCATTGGTCCTGCAAGTTGTTTTTATTTAAGTTGTTTTTTGTTTAAGAATATATTTGGAGTATGTAATAAAAAATAAATGGCTTCTGCATACAACCATAGTGATTCTTAGGTAACGGCCTCCCATTTTATCAACAAACACTCAAAGGAAACTGACCCTTTCTGCTTGCCTGATGGCTCCCTTTTTCTTTCTATAAGTCAGACATTTGAGGTTGTATTATGAACAAGCCTGTAACCACTTCCCCTTATGTTTTTCTAAGGCAAGGATCTGGAAGAGTTAAGGCACATTAATTTCTTCCCTGAGTCCTGGCTGATCCGGGTTACAGCTGACCATTATCACACAGTGAGTCGACTTCTCAAGGAAGCAACTACCAAATTGTCTTGCCTCCTCAGCTTTGCTTTTTCTGGAGATAAGTTCCTCGGTAGACATCTCTGGGCCTCTGAGTTCAGGGCATATCTGAAGCCTCCTCCAGGGGAAGGGGGGAGGGCAAGGTCCCACACGGCCTCTGATCTGAAGGTTTAGCCAGGGTTGAAGAGCTCTATGGTCATACATTCCTCCAAACCCAGGCCCTAGTAGACACATATGAATGTGCTTATTATTGAAACTGTTCAAACTACAGAGAAAAGAACTCCTTCAGACCATCCCCAAATCAACAGGCACTGTTAACATTTAATTGTCTCAGCTGGGCGTTGGTGGGACACGCCTTTAATCCCAGCACTCCAGAGGCAGAGGCAGGTGGATTTCTGTGAGTTTGAAGCCAGCCTGGTCTACAAAGCGAGTTCCAGGGCAAGCTCCAAAATAATACAGAGAAACCCTGTCTTCAAAAACAAAAACAAAAGATTTCATTGTCTCTACTGCCTTCCAATAGGGATCATGTTTTCACATAATAGTTTATTTTTCTGTACTTTGAATTATTTGCTTGTAGGAGATTCTCCACAGTAGAAATGCTGCCTCTATAGCATACGTACAGTTTTGTTCCTGGTACATATTAATAATAAATAATAAACGACTCTACCCCCAGAAAGAAATGAACTCACCCCATTGTACACACACTTGGCAGCATGGGAGCATTTAAATTTCAAACGACTTTTGTTAATTGAAGAGGGAACAATGACATTTCATCTTTAAATATGCATTTCTTCGATGACTGGCAAACATGAGTGTTTGTGGACTGTCCATATGAACTGGCCTGCTTCTTGTACATTTCCAGTGGCGCATTTTCAGAGATGAAGTGGGGCAGTGTTCAAGTTCTGAAGATGCCTGAGTCATAAGTTAAAATTCAGCCAGCTCTACAAGTACTTATTGTGATGCTGGAACCAGCCCTCCAAGTGCCCTTCTCCCTGCACAGTAGAGGACAACTCCACGGAAAGCTCTTGCTACTCAGGGACATAATTCAGAACTCCTCTCTAAACGTGGCCAAAGAGACTGTCGAAAGTTCCCAGCTCCATCTTCCCGTCCTCTGACCCTGCCCAATCCTTCCTCATGCTCCTGAGGTCCACACCCACTTTCCAGTCTTCTCTGTGGAATGTCATGCAAGAGTCCTGCTCACTCTTCAATTTGTGACCATGGTCATTCTCATGAGGATGCTATTGATGTCCCTCTTTCATTCCCCTGGGCACAATACTTAGCCATTTTCCTCTCTCCTCTATATACTCTGGAAACATTGGGAACAGTACTTGGATATGGTAGGTTTTCAGTAAATGTCTGAAGATAAAACCATGGGACCTGGAGATCCAGGAGTGGGTGGATAAGAAGTGCAAAGGGATGGTAAATTCATCAGGTAAGCTGTGTGTGTTTCCCTTCCAGCTGGAGAGTGGGGGCAACATGATCCATCTGAAAGATCTTTCTACACAAGCCATGAGGTTTGGGCTGCTCTTTAGACAGGTACGGAAAACTTGACCCAACCAAGGGGAAGGGCTACCCTTTCTATGCTGAGCGAAGGAGGTCTATGGGGCCACCCACAAGCACTATGACCTCTGGAAGTAGAGCTATCAAACTCCTAGGAGATGGAATTCATACAACAGAGGGCTGGGACAGTCCAGTCAGCAATCTGATGTGTGTGATCCAAATTTTCCCACTAGGGTGACCAACAATTCCACGTTTTCCAGGATGAAGAGATTTCCTGGGAGTTGAAAGTTTTCTTCCTAAAAGCAGGAAACATCTGGGGAAACCATGGACTAACCATATCCCCCCGACCACACACACACATACACATGCACCCACATACAAGGATTAACAGCTACCAAAAGCTCTGCAATCTCCAGTCCAGGTTGCAAGACCTGCCTCATTCTGGTAGCTGGTTCAGAGGATCTCAATCAAACCATGGTTGGCCAAGAAGCTGCAGTGGGAGGCATCTCAGTGCTCAACCATAGGACATGGTCTGGGGTTGGTGGCTAGGCTCTGTGGTGGGCTTCTTGCAATAGAATACATGCATATATATCTGCTGCATGATTTCTTTAAGGTAGTTATCAGGGATCATAAAACAATTCATGTTTTAGGGACTTGGGACCTAAGTCTATCATCTGGGAGACTGAGCCAGTACCTGACTGCAGAGACCCACTAAAGTGGATCTTTTGGCATAATAGTATGGCATGCCTCATAGTTCCATCACATTGAAACAAAATGCACAGCAGCACATGGGTCATTTAAGACCTTACCTAACTCATTATTTCTCCCCAAAGAATCTTGCAAAAAATAATGATTAGAAATGTTGGAAGAAGTTAGTAGCTGTTTCTAAGCAGTGACAGTTTTTTTTTCACTCTAATTTTTGCTGCATCCTTTTGCCTTTGAATATGGATGGAATTTCCCCTTTCACTTGTTTGCTTCTCCTTCCCAATGTAGGAATATACCACTTACTCGGAAAGGATTTCTATGTATGGATACTTCTTTGAGATAAAGGGAATCAAACATGATACTACCTCTTACAGTTTTTCTATGCAGGTAAGAAACAGGAGTACGGGAAAGGCATGCCTTTGAAGCAGCCACCCAGGGCCAGATGATTGATATGGGGGATTGAGGAATCATTAGTTCATCATTCATACAGACTATGTTGTAAAGCACTGTTCACACTCATGCGTTTGATGCCATGTGATTTTCGCAACCAGCTGGGGAGGTCGGTACTGGTAAATGAGGCCGTCAACTCTGAGTGACTTCCCTTTCATGTCATATGACCTCTTGATGAAGTAAGGGTTCAACTTGTCTGTCTTGGAAGTCAAATCATCAATCTGTGCATAATGGGTTACACAGGATGGGCCATTCTCTTCGCAGAGGATAAGACATACGGACTTGGACTGCCCCACCCCCATCTGTGAGCACAGTGCTATCAGCCTGAGAGCTGAGCGCCTGGTGAAGTATGAGATCAGAGCCCAGACGCTGGTGGATGGCAGGTGGCAGGAGTTCAGGACAAACCAGATCACGCAGAAGTTTGGGTTCGCCAAGCCGGGCTGCAAAAGCCATGTGAGCATCCCCCTTGCCTGAATTTTCTCTTTCTCTTCTGTTTGTTTTTGACTCCTTTCCTCCCTCACCCCTTTTTGGGCAGTCCTGTCTTCAAGCCACTAGTGATCTATCAGATGATTGTTTTCAGTTTCGTAAGGATGAGCATGATCCAAATAATGCCAAAGAAAAACTGTCTAAAACGAACAGCAGTACTTGTGGAAGTGGCTAACACATCAAATCAGGGGCACAGCAGACTCATATTGTAAATGATGTCAATAGGTATTTATGTATCGATGTCAGGTGCCGCAGTCCATCCATTCCTCTGAAATTCTTCTCAGGCTACCTGCCTCCCTCGGGCTAACCCAGGAGGACAGAACCCAGTCAACCCTAGGGTGGTACCAACATCCAGGCAGGCGTAGTACCTGCCTGGCAGGCAGTCCCCAAATAGCCAGAGAAACACAAAGGGGCTCTCTGGGCTGTGGGTTTGAGGTTGGGGCTCATGCTGGTGCCCTATTTGGAATGTTACTGAATGACAAACCACAGAATCATTCTCTGGCCAGACCTTGGAGACACATTAGAATCACCTGAGGCTTTGAGCTGCCCCTGTTGGGGATCAGGAGGCCACAAAAGTGGTGAGAACAAATGCTTCACAGGCGGGGGTTTATTGCGTATAAAGACCTCCCAAGGTGTTTCCTGGGGTGGGGGTGGGGGTGGGGGACTGGAATCATCACAGCTATGCTCTTGGGGGATGAGGGGACAGGCTGGGCCAAAGTGTGCTTCACCTTGATCAGGTGACAGCACAGGTGTGGCCTTGGGACAACTCCCAAAGATTTATACACTTTACTGGACGCAAACTCTGCCTAAATTTTGTTTAGCTGTACTCTCCATAGGCTACTCTGCTGTAGCCAGAACTGGGAACCAGGAACAGGCAGCTGTTGTGGGCACAGCAGCCTCATCCTGAAATGATCATTTGTTCTGTTTTGTTTCTTATCTCAGGTCTTGAAAATCCAAACTGTGGGCATCCCAATCTATGCCAGCTTTGCATTCATTTTCCCAGCATCTTGACAGTTTCCAGAGGAATCTATGGGAGCCCCTGCCCTGACCGACCTGTCTACATAAGAGGAATAAAATGACATTAATGAGGGGAGCCCAGCTGCTTGTGCTTGTTAGCCCCACCGGGTCCTTTGCTCAGACGCTCACGGTTTAGGTTAGTGTGATCTGTGCCTCTTTTCATCCAAAGACATGACGGGGAAAATTCATGTCCAAGTCCCTCAGGCTGTTGACAGGCTAATCTTGCAGCTGCGTGACTAAGAGCCTCAGTAGCTACTAATAGCCTCACACAATGTCCCGGAGTCCTGGGGCATCCTGTCCCCTCCAGATTAGAAGTTAAACCCTTCCCTAAAAGGGTACAAAGGGTCACCTCCGGGTGTGTCCGCCTCACTGTGTTACCTGTTGTCTTTGAGAATGTGGAGAGTTGAGGGTATTGTGCAAACACTAAGGGTGATACATTCAGTCTCATGGCTGCTGTGGGAAGGCTCACATTTGAGAGAGTTTTCTCCCCAACAGAGAATCTCAGGAGGTTGGGAGGGCTGGTGGGAACGTGGAAGGCAGACCTGGGGGAGAGTCAGAGCTAACGAGCTGGACTTCGGGAGCCTGCTTTCAGGACTGTCCCCTCCCTCCTGTGTGCCACACTTCTGCACTGTGGTGCCCATTCAGGTCCAGCCAGTGAGAAGTAGTAATGGGAGCAGCGAGACAAGAGAGGAGAGAAACAGGGGTAGCTGTCACCTCCCAGCTGCACAGCAAGGGTTTGATAGGGTTGGAAATACATAGGACACAGTGGGGTGGATATTGGAAAACATGGCCTTCATAATTCAGATTAAGGTGAACACCAGTGAGACACTGACTCATGCACAAAGTTTATGGATTATCACAACCCTATAAATGCTCAGTAACCTGGACAAATGATATTCTAATGCAAGATTTTAAAAACTGAAAACCAATGGGAAAAGAACCCACTATGATATAGATGGATGGATCACTGTGAGGTGAACGCATAGGACCACTGCTCATATCAAAACACAATGGAGCAGTGGTGGTGCATACCAGTAATCCCAGCACCCGGGAGGCAGAAGCCAGCCTGGTCTACAAAGCAAGCTCTGGGACAGCCAGGGCTGCTACACAGAGAAACCCTAGCTCAAAAAAGCAAATAAATAAATAAATAAAATACAAAAACCAAAAAAATAAATAAATAAAACAAAACAAAACAACAACAACAACCAAAAACCAAAACCATAACAGTCAGGTTCTGGATGCCTCACCTAGGCTCGCTCACTCCAGCAAACACCACCCAGACTTCCAGTGCCACCAACTAGTTTTAGTTTGGCCAGTGAGTCTGATTGACTGTTTTGCAAACAGAAACACACCTTGGCCAGCAAATTAGCTACTTTTCTTGCTGCTGTGGTCCTGGCAAGAAACAACAGAAGTAAGACAGGGGCTTACCCTACCCTGGATGACATGACAGACTCTGGAGATCCACCATGGAGGGCCTCACCCTCTCTGGGGATCGGAGTGGAGATTGGGTGGGGGACTGGGGGGCCTGGTGGGGAGGGATGGGGAGGAGGGGAGGGAGAGGGACCTGGGATTGACATGTGAAACAAACTTGTTTCTAACTTAAATAAAAAAGGAAGAGGGAAAACAAAAGATAAACTCACTGTCCTAGTTAGCATCAGCTGTCAACTTGAAACAGTCTAGAAACATCAGAGAAGGGAGTCTCATCTGAGGATTGCCCAGATCAGACTGGCCTGTATGCATGTCTGTGGGACATTGTCTTCTTGCTAATTGATGTAGAAGGGTCGGACCCACTGTGAGCAGTACCATCCCTGGGCAGACAGTCCTGGGTTGTAGTAGAAAGTTAATCACATGAGCTTGTGAATGAGCCAGCAGGCAGCATCCCTCTACGGGTTTGGTTCCAAGGTCTCCCTTGAGGTCCTGCCCTGACTTCCCTCAATGATGTACCTGGCAGTGTGAGTCAAGTACATCTTTTCCTCCGCAAAGTTGCTTTGGGTACTGCAACCGAAATGAAACAAGAACACACGCCTTGCAGCACTGGCTCCTCCTTGCTTAAAGGCTGAAAACGAAACTAGCACATCTGGGGTGAGAGGCAAGGAGTCCAGCCATACACTCCCTGAACCTGGGAAGTAAAAGTCTTGAGACAAAAAAATTCTCAAGAGACTCTCACGAGCTCTTCTTATGAGGGGAAGCTTCGTAGACTCTGATTTATGACCCATGGTTACAGTGCCCAAAGCAGTGGGCCTGGGCTCTGGGCAGCGCTGCGTCCTGCATGCTGCTTTTGGAATTGACTCTCTGCTCGCTTCTCTCATCATGGACTTCATCCCCCAGGCCCTGTAGAAGGAAAAATTGGTCCTCAGAAGATGGTTGCAGATTCACTTGATGCGAGGCAACTTACAGGTTCCAGCTGACCTACATTTGGGTCCCAGCTCTGCTAGCTGTGTGGCCTTAGGCAAGTCAGCTAAACTCTCAGCCTCAGAATCCAATCTGATGCTGGTGCTGGCGGTGCTTAACAATCCGTAATGACTTTGTCAAACACCTAAACACATTTCAAATACTTGATAGACGTTATTCCTGTTGTCCACTTACTGCTTGGAGTCATTTTGTACTTGTTGAAGGTTGAGACGGATGCTGGTGTAGGCTTGGGGCATCCTTCTTGGGGCCTGATGCAGAATGAGATGGTTGGACCAGTGGCTCTCTTGGATCTTTGAGGCTGCAGTCACAGATGGTGAATTTTGAGAGTCCGAGGAGCAGCTGAGCCTGTGAAGCAGGAGTGGCGGCGCTGAGGAAGTGAACACTGGCTTACTTTACCTCAGGCTTGTCAGAGTAAGAATGGATTGTGGGGTGGGAAGGTGGCTCACTGTGCTTTCCACACAAACAAGAGACTTGAGTTTGAATCCTCAGAACCAACATAAAGAGCCAGACACCCCACCACTTCTGGGGAGGCCAAGGAAGGAAATTCTGGAGCTAACTGGCCAATTAGTGAAAGACCCCATCTCAAAAAAAAAAAAAAGAAAGAAAGAAAAAGTAAAAGAATTGAGTTTGGTGGTGCATACTTTTAATCCCAGAGCCTGTGAGGCCAAGACAGGTAGATCTCTTCAAGTTCAAATTGAGGCCAGCCTGGTCTACACCGTGAATTGCAGAGCTAAAAATAACTGTAGGGAGCACACATACATGGGAGGAGGGGGAGGAAGACGAGGACAAGGAGGAGACAGCATCTTAGAAAGAGGACCTTAACTTTTTTTTTTTTTTTGAGATAGGGTTTCTCTGGCAGGCCTCGTACTTAGATCCACCTGCCTCTGCCTCCTGAGTGCTAGATGCTAGGATTAAAGGCATGTACCGCCACTCCAGGCTTGTCTACCTCATTTTTGAGATAGCATCTTATTATGTAGTCCAGACTAGGCTGGAAGTCACAATCTTCCTGCCTCAGGATTGCAGGCATTACAGGATTATGCCACCACACCTAACTTTCTCTTCTCTTTTTGGAGGTTTTGTGTCCTGCAGACCATTATGTCTTGCATTACCAGGAGAAGAGAGGAAGCCTAGGTTATGTGGGGGAGGTGCTAGGCTTGTGAACTCTGGGAGGACAGACAGGTGGACTGCTGAGGGAGTGAGGACCAGACTGGCCCCACTCCTGCAGGATGGATGTAGGATGTGATATTTTGATGTGTGGACCCAAGTCCTTCCCAGCTGACAGTGGAGGAGATTCTAGGGAAAGAGAACAAAACCTCAAGGAAGCCCCAAAGCAGGGCTAGCCAACAGAGCTTTTCTATGCAGATGAAAATACCATATGTCTGTCCTGCCCAATGTGGTAACCACAAGCTATGTGCAGCTGCTAAGTGCTTGGAGCATGACTAGTGCGACAGAGAAGCTGGGTTTTGACTCTTCTGCGATCTTGCCGCTGTATGTTTAAATAGCCATCAGTGGAAGTCAGTGGAGTGACAACACTGTGCTCACCCTGGAATGTGGACAAGCACTCCCTGATGCCACACTCTCCAGGGCTCAAGACCCTCTGCCTTCCTGTACAAGTGGAACTATCCATGACTCAGGTTCAGTTTGGACCACCCTAAAACTTCCCAAGATCCAGGAGATGCCATACTCCAGGCCAGGGAAACAGAGCTCCATCTGTATTGGAATATCATTGGTGCCCTGCTCTTCCTGCTTGCATGTATGTATATCTTAAATATATCAAAATAAAACAAAGTGTTGCTTAGCAGTCATGGCCAGTAACCAGTCACACGCAGCTAATGGCTGCTATGTGGGCAGGGCAGGAACAGGAGGAAAGGCAACATTGATGAGCCTTATATTTCTGAGTCATGTAACCTTTGTGCTCCTGATCTAGACTCCACAGATGTAAGAGCTGCAGCCAGGCCAAGAGTTAGGGTTGCAAAGGTGAGCAAAAGACACGGTCTCTGTCGTTATGGAGGCCTGGTGTCTGGAAAGGGCAGTTGTGAAGGCTGTTGGGGCACTGAGGCTGGCCGGGTGCAACTATAAAGCAAAGAAAGAGGTCTAGACCCTGTGGGTGAGTGGGGGGTCCCAAAAGAGCGTCCTCCCCAGGGAGAGGATGCTTAACCCAACATCAGAAATAAGAGTGAGAAGCAGGAAAAAACATATGGAGGATGAGGGCAACTGGAGTTCTTATGCACTGCCCATGGAAATACATCAAGTAGAAATATGATATGAAATGTAAAGCGATGGCTCCTCCTAGAATGACCCAGGCACACACCCGTGAGAAACTGAAACACATGTCCACATAAAAGCTTGCACACAATGTCCATAGCAACATTATAAGTTCCCAAAGATGGAAAAGCCTAAATATCTATCCATAAGTGAATGGAAAGATGAAATGTGGGCAAGCCTTATAATGAAATATTCAGGTTGGGGGTATAGTTCAGTGGTAGAGCATGTGTTTAGTATGTTCAAGGCTCTCCCTGGATTAATCCCTGGCAAAAATAAAGGGATGGAGGACCTGTGTCTGCTACATGGATGAACTCTGAAAATAACACACTAGGTAAAAGAAACAGTCACCAAACCCACGTCTTGTGTGATTTTGTTAAAATGTCCAGAGCTGGGCATG